TCGCTGCCTGCGTCATGAGTGTAGGGTCTGTTCCCCGTATCCCACTCCGCTCCGTGGACACTGTCAAACTCAAAATTATGCATGCGTCTCCAAAGAGATGTAAATTACCCCCCTCTCTCCATATCGCCACTTCTTCGGACCTGGGCCCTTGGAGCGGAGCTCGCCCACGCAGTCAAAGTCGAAGTCGAAGTCGAGCTCGGATTGTCGTCGTGCTCTCGGGTAATCGCAGTCGGGGAAGCGTACGAAATTAATTTGACAGCCAACGCAAAACGCATGCATCGTCAACATTCTTCTGGTGCCCCTTCTCCGCTCTCCGCTCTCCCATCTCCACATCCACACATCTCCATCGAAAACGACGTCGACCGACAGACAGACCCAGTGACGGTTCCATGCTTATCGCCTTACTTTTATATCTATCTTAAGCTTGTTGTTGCCTTGCTTCTCTCCGATCTCTGGGTTCGTTCCGTTCCGATCTTTCTCTCTCTCCCTCTCTTTCTCTTATTGTCGTTATCGTCGTTGCAGTCACATTAACACATCCCGACTTCGAAATGGGTTATGCGCTGAGCTTAACTGATGTCAGAGGACTGGGGATTACCAGAGAATTAATGGGTGAAGGATTTGCAGCTGCAATCGCAGAAACTGAGTGAGATCTCCGACCATGTGGGAGGTGTTTATGAGAAGAGCAGGGTCGGGTGCCTCCAAAAAAAAAGGTGGAAAGAGGTGGAAAAATTATGATGATCTTTTGCTAAGATTCAGTGAAGGAAGTCTATGCCTTAATGGGAGGGTTAATTCAATTAATTGCCTAACTTCTCAGCCACCCACACATACGATCTACCCAACACAGACAGAAAGAGAAAGAGAGACCACCCGCTTGGCACTTTCCATTCCATCTGGAATGGACTTCTGGCTGGAAATGTCGTCACGCGTAGGCTTTGCCAAATGATAACCAAAAAGCCATCGATCCCTAGGCATCGCAACAAAAAAAAAAGCCCCACGAAAACAAAATCCAAAACCCAAAGAGGGAGAGGTTATGGAGAGGCAGAGGCAGAGGCAGGGGCAGAGAGAGATGGAGCGAAGCAGAGTTGAAAGCCTGACAGGACCACACAAGAAGCTGGAAAAGCCCACACACAGCGAATCAGGAGGGGGTTGCCGTTGCCGCTGCTGTTGCCGGCTGCCAGTTGCCAGTTGCTGTTGGACGGGGCGGTTGATTACATGAACAAACGAACCGAACCGAACCGAAGGCTACCTCTGCACCAGTCGTCCCCAGACCCAGTCTCCAGTCGCCAGACCCCCAGACCCCCAGTCCCAGTCTAAGTCCCCGTCCCAGACCCAACCGCAAAAGCCGACGCCAAGATAACGAGTTAACCAAAACAACAACAACCACAAAAGCTACAGAAAGAGCAAACCACACACGCCATCCATCCCCATCCACAACCCATCGCAGGGGAATTGAGACTTGGGCGATCTGCTGCCACTGCCACAGCCGGCCTACGTATTACCGGTGGCAAATAGTAATTATTACATTAAATGCACCGCAATAATGCAGCGGCAACACAGCCACACAGCAACAACAAAGCTTAGCCATAAAAATTGCCTGCACTCCACAGAGCTTCTCCTTGCTCTCCTTGCAGCCAGAAAAGCTTTCTTAGCGAATGCGAATGCGAGGCAGTTAAACTTTAAGTGGCAGAGCGAGTGATCGTCACCTGGGATGGGATGGCAACAGGAAGAGAGAGAGAGCACGAATAAGAGTAAACACCAAAGCTGTAAAGAGAAGCAAGGCCAAGAAGGACGAGGCAGAGAAAGAATGAAACCAGCCGGCAATGTAGTAATGTTAATGTCGTTATAGGCCAGTGACAAATGCAATTGCATTTGTGTAGATGGATGGTGGGTAGAGGAAAGGGGTCCGCTCGCTCGGGGACGGGATATCAAGTGGAGGTCTAGGCAACGTTGCACTATAAATTAAGACATTATACGATTAAAAACAAACAGCCTGTCGTTAAAGTCGCAGAAGGAGTAACAGAGTTAGCCGGAGAGTGGAGGGTGGAGAGAGAAGACCAAGCGTCATAGAAATCAAGCGAGACGAACGAAACGAAATCATTCACTCTCCGTAAATTGGACCTTGGAAGATCCAAGGCACACATAAAAATATTCACCTATACAAATTGTAATTTTCAAGTCCGACTTGAATCCCAGCAGATGAATTTTCCTACCCCTAGTGCCCCATCACTACCTTTAATGTTTCTCTTAACGAAATTGTGAATGACAATCAACGATCAATCAGCCCTGGACCAAAGCTCCCTCCGCAGGCTGGAAAAAAAATATCCAAACTTCAACTCCAGCCATAAAAACAGCCTCTGTCTCCATCTCTGTCTCCGGGGCTCCCTCTCCAACACCAACTCCAAATGAAACGGCAAATGAAGCTCTCAAAGCAAACTCCTCTCAACGTTGGTGGTCCAGTGGCAGCTGCCGCCGCCACACAGGCGCAGCCCACAGTATACATGTGAGTAAGTCCCTCTCTTGCGTTCGTGCTCTCTCGCTCTCTGTCTCTCTGTTGTGCTGTGTTTATGGGGGACCACTGGGGGATTGGAGCTGCTGCTGCTGCAGGCGAAATGAGCGAAAGCAAAACAAAATGCAAGTCATTGAGAGCAAAAACTCGAGAGCGAGCACGCTCAGCGTGTGTGCGAGTGTATGTAAAGATGGCGCAATCTTCAGAGAGTAGAAGAGAGAGAGAGAGAGAGAGAGAGAGCAATGGATAAAGCTAAAATATGCAAGCTGAAGCTGCTATGGCAAAAAAATGCCGCCCATGTCGCCAAAAAGCGCCACACGCAGGCCAACTGATAGAGAGCGGGAGCGCGAGAGTACGTTTGATGAGAGACCAAGAGCCAGGCCAGCCATTCACATTGATGCAGTGTTCAGGTGAGTGGGTTAGACAGGGATAGAGAATGAGAGGAAGAGAGAGTGGGGCAGGCAGAGGCAACTGCAGCGTGTGCGCTGCTCCTCATCAATGTTGTCTGTTGTTGTTGTTATTTTTGTTGTTGCTGCTGCTTTGACTGTTTGATTGTAATAGCCCCCTGCTTGGTGGTGGGTCCCCATCCACATTCACATCCCCGGCCCCGCCACCTCTCTTTCTTCCTCCACCAATGGTCCATGACGCTGCAGTTGCATTCGAATTGGAATTCCGAGGCAGAATCGAGCGCCAATTTTTGCGGTGGATCTTTTTTTCGGTGTTGTTGTTGTTGGAGTGGAAAGAGAAACCAGAGGAGAAGTGGTGCGGTGTGTGGATATCAGGGTGGGGTGGGGGTCACCATGTAAAAGATGCATTTTCATTCATAAATTGTACGACGATGTGGGCTCTGCTCTGCTGCAGTTGGAACAAAAAATACTCAGCGGGAAGCGAAAAATATTTTTTAAAGGTATCTTCATGGATTGGTTGTTCTGAAAAGCTTATAGATCTGTTGGTACTTTAGCTCTATTTGGTGTTTATTTTGTGTGTTTAACATTTTTTTGGTAAGGCTAAAATTTGTATTTGTTTTTTGTTTCTTAAGTAGAACTGTAGTGGCATTTTTTTCGATTTTCGCCCAAAGAATATATTAAAATCACTGTAATATATATTTCTGCATTTTCGACGTGTGGGGTACACACACAGTCGCGCTGGGGAGAAGATGAGGCAGAAACAAAAGGAAAACCAAAACATCCTGCCTCATCATTTTGTATTGAAATAACATGCAAAAACAGACATCAGCGAGGCAGCAACAACAACTGCAAGACGAAGTTAACAAATTTGCCAAGAGTTCACGCAGCCAGCGCCAAAGCCTGCCACGCACGCGCTCCCCACCAACACACACAAAAAAGTTACAGACAATAAAAGCTTTGCTGCCCAGCGCCAACGTCGACGCTGAAGGCCGCAGCAACAGGCCAGGAGAGAGGAAACGCGGTCGGGCTAAGGCTGCGACCACCCACAACGCCGGTCGTTGAGTTTAATGAAGGCAGCAAAAACAACAACAACAACGGCAGCAAATATATTTTGGGTGGTCTGCTACAACAACAATCAAAAAGCCTTTTGGGTGGTCGTGGCAACAACAAAAACCACCAACAATAGAAATTAGCGAGCAGGCGCCCTGCCTCTCAGCTTTTCCTCTGCTCAGTTTTATCAGTGGGTGCATATGTATATTCATGATTAGCATGAAAATCCGAGTTGATATGGCCATGACCGACTGCAAGCAATATTAAAACTATACCGAGTTCTCTCTTCTGAACAGGCAGATCATAGTAACGAAATAACATGCTTCTTTGCCAATTTAAAATACAATTTTAATCCGGTTTTCTCTTAAAATGTAACTAATAAAACAGTTTACAATAGACGTTCAGCCGATATCATGAGTATCGTTCATACCATTCGATATTCCTCAAGACGAACAAAAATCTCTCGATCTACCCTCGCAGTAAGCATTCTCAGACCCGTGGTAAAACAATAGAGGGGTATGGCCTGCCATCGCTCTCCTCCAGGAGCCTAAGTTGTCTGCCAGGCTCAAACAAAGCCGCTTTCTGAGCTGTCCCACCCCGATGATAAATATACCGTGTCCGAACCAAAATGGCCGCAGACAGTTCCAGAGAGGCAGAGAGAAAAAGAGAGCGAGAGCACTGTCTCGCTCGCATAATAAAGTTGTTGGCCTGCCTGCCTTCTGGCGTGCCGCATCTGAGAGATACATCTCTCAAAACGCTCGCGATCCCCAAACGAAACGGTTGTGTGTGCAGAGCAGACCTCTCCTCCAGTGTGTGGTATATACCAGCAACAGCAAAAGATAGATCAGAGTATCACATCAGCTCAGAAGAGGAAATGTTCAAAATTAACGAAAAACGAAACGAATCCATGAATTAAATGCCACAGCAACAAAAATCCAAAACGAATCGAAACCGTCGTCTGGCTACGTGCGCAAAGTGTATGTGTGTGTAAGTGTATATGAAGAGCAAAGCAGAGAAGAGAAATACAGAGAGAGAGCGAAGCAAAGAAAACGAGCTGCAAAGAAAAACGTGAGGCGTCCGTTTGTCGCGTTCGCGCTTGCTTTTCCATGTGTAAATGATGTGTGAAAAATTCACCGAATTTCCCAACAAATTGTGCCCAAATGTCCGGCCGTGAGTGAAGAAAATAAACCCGATACTCGATCTAACCAAAATCCGAGTCGAAAAAAGATTCGAGCAACGAAGCCAGCAATCACAACAAAACCAAACAACACAAAAGAGAGGCCAGAGATACACAGCCCGAGAGAGAACAGATAAATAGAGAGAGAGAGAGGGAGAGAGAGAACCACTCTGTTTTAGAGGGAATGCAGAGTGCGGGCCAAAATGCAGCCGAACAAATTACTAAAACACAAGGAAAACTAATCAAATAAAGAAGCGAAGACAATTCCACAGCACGCACTGTATCTGTCTACACCTCAGGTCGCAGACAGACAGCAGGCACTGTATATCGAAAGCGAGAGAGATTGGCAGTATTCCCCCGCCCGTGTTAGCGCTAAAACAGCTAAAGATACGGCAGCCATGGACAGGGACAGCCTACCCCGCGTACCGGACACCCACGGCGACGTGGTCGATGAGAAATTATTCTCGGATCTGTACATACGGACCAGCTGGGTGGATGCCCAAGTGGCGCTCGATCAAATTGATAAGGTAAGTGGTCAAAATCAAGCAAAAACAGAGGAAAAAACAGAGCCATTCGCCGTGTAACTTTTGCTTAATGCGGCCATTAAGCCGTGGAGACAGTCCCCAATAAATTTTATTGCCAATATCTCTCGCAATATTTTTAGTTTTCGTTTCATTTCGCCTTGTTTCGTTTTCTTTTGATCAGGTTTGCTCGCCCTCTGGTTAATTGAGCTGTTCCCCACACAAGTCAGCCTATTAATTACAGTGATTAGCCAAAATCTATGCGAAATATGCGGGCATCGGCAATCGGCTTATATGCAAATGTATTTTTTTATGGCTAAAGAGCGTGGAGGATTTAGTTCTATAAAAAGACTTTTCTACGCCATTAAATCTGGTATCTGTTAGCAAGCATTACAATATGTTCAAAGCCAATCCTTTTGACACACAGAAATCCACTCATGTCAGACCCAAAATGACTATTTCCACTCTCTGGGCTGCCACACACAGCAGGGCTCAAGATCTGGATTCGGACGGACAGACGTATCCACAGACAACTTCATTACTTTGGCGCTACTGTGCAGCAGAGTGGGGTCTGACCGCAAAAGAAGTAAAGAAACAGATACTGCAACTGCAGCTAGCGCCAAAAACAGCAACGACCAGGTCCGTGTGGCAGCAGGAGACCCAAGGGAAAGCAATAGCAACATCAGCAGCAGCAGCAGCAACAGCAGCCTTCCAAAAAGGCAAAAAGCTTTGGAAGCCGCAACATGAAAACAAGAAAGGAGGTTTAGCTGGGTGTGCCGAAGCCCTTGATACCCTTTCGGAGCGATTAGCAAACATAAAATATCGACAGTGATACGATCTAAAAAATATTCATACTCGCATTTACTATATGCTTTTCGTACTGCTTCATTCTCTGCGTTGCAAACATCTGCTCGAAGTAGGGATACCTACCGCAAGGGTAAAATCGTAAACAACAATGCTGTTTGTTTAAATGTGTGTGTGTGTGTGTGTGTGTGAGCAACCGCAGCCTCAGTCAGCCCCAACATGGGTGGGCGCGGGCTCTGCTCTGCTCAGAGCTCTCCGCGAGAGTCGAGTCGTTTCGTACGTGCTGCTGCTGTCTCTCCCTCGCTCTCTCTGTCCCACCCCCCGCTGCAGATGCTCTTTCGAATGGAATGCGTTGTGGTTGTAGCGTGGCTCTTGTCGGGAATGCTCTCACTCCTTGGCGGACTGATTAGAAAGACGCGTGACGTAATGCAGGACGGGCTAATCAAGTATCGGCAGGCAGCCGGAGAAAGGGTATGCAAAGATCGCTATATCTCAATTGCTAAACCCGAAAGAGAACTGTAAACAATCAGTGCCAAAAGCAAAAAGCATTTTTGTTTATTGTTGCGGCTGGTGCAAATGTAGAAGGGGCAGGCAGGCGAGCGAGGTGGTTCGATACGGGTGGCCCAAAGGCACAAAAAAAATACCGAATAAAAAATTTCACTGACGCACGCGGTTTATTGTTGCTGCAGCACTCCAGTGTTGGTAAAACTGCGCTCGGCCGTCCCCAAAATTTCTCGCTTCTTCTCTTTGGGCTCTCTCTCGCTTGCTGGCAAAGCCTTTTTGCAGTGCTTTGATCGGATCACTATATCACTCAATCATCTGCTGCGCCATCGCTTAGTTGCTGGAAGATTGAGTGATCTGGGAAGGGTATAAAACGATTCGACCCCGCCGAAGATAGACTTCCCTCCTTGTTACAACTTGATGTCTTCATCATGGTTGTTGTCGATGTTGCTGGTCTCCTCCGGTTCCTGCTGCTGCTGCTGCTGCTCCGCGTGGCGTGTCTTGCTCTGTTGTTGTTTTGCGGTTGCCTCTTCTCGATCTCTTCCTGCAACTTGGTGCTTTCTGTCTTCTCTCTCTGTATCTCAATTATTTCTCGTAAAGTCTCTTGGGGCTCTGTTGTAACGTGGTCTTCTCCTGCCCTGAACTCTTCTGGAAAGTTGCAGCAAACGATCGATCGTGATGGCGCCGACGTCGTCATCGACATCGGGCACCGTCCATGGCGATTTATTTTAATGACTCAATTTAACGAAATATATTAAGACATTAAAATTGTCTAACGAACCGGACGAACACACACGTCCAACCAACAACAAAAGCAACAACGCTGCCAAAGTGCGTTTATTTTTTTTTGGGAACTATGCAAATTACTCAACGTGATCATTATTATTATTTTTATTTATTTTATCCATTTTTGTTGCGCTACTGGGAGGTCTGGGGTCTTTCGCTGTCTGGCGGGCTCTGAGGGGATGACGTTTCCTCACATGATCTGAATGCCAAATGAAGCCGAGCGTAAAAAAAGATGCTCTACTCAAGAGCTGCTACAGCTGAGGGATCAAGTTTGTCAGTATAGAGGTTCATGAATCAATGGAAACATAATACGATAAAATTCCATAGATTGATTATTGGACTGATCTATAAAAAGTTCCCTAAAATTCGCTTAAATCCGCTTTGGTTAGGTCTCTACTGTATCCGTTTGGTCTGTACCGCGACATTTGCCCCAAGAGTCCGGCCAACAAATATTTAAGCCAAACTGAATTCTCATTTAAGGCAATGCCGCACTATCGATGCAGGCCATGTACGCTCGGTGTATCTATGAGATACGTATAAATTCATGAATGAAATCGCTTGTCGCGACTCCTCTGCCTACCTCCCCTTCGTCATTTTGCGCTGTGCCAATTGTAAGGCAAACACACACCGAGAGAGAGAGAGAAAGATAGAGATACACACTTTGCACAGGAAGTTGGGAAACATTGGCGGCATTTTGAAGAAGTCTTCACGTTGCTGCCGCTGCTGGCAGTAGGCAATAAATTTGTTTAGTCATGCCACGATATCCGCCGCTGTCCACTCTCCACTGTCCATTGCCCCCTTCCATTCCATTCGTCGCACTCTTTTCACAACTGTCCATGAAAAACAAACACAAACACAAATATTTGTGGCATCCACACACACACACAGACACGCACGGACAATGGGCAAACATTTCTCAAATTAACATGGCCAAAACGAAAGCAGAAAACCAAAACCAGTAGCTCAGTGGCACAAACTCTGAAATTGTCAATCAGGCAGTGGATCCTAATGGATTGGATAAACATCGGACGTACGAAAGATGTAGGGGAAGGCCTTTGTTTACTTGCAAATAGCGGGAGAGAGAAAATATACAGAATATACCACAGGACTGAAGACTTTTAACTATCTCAAGACCAAGCCAAGATAACTTCCTTATCCTGTGTCTTCCAACCTTACTCAAGCCACCATGTAGGTAAAACAAATATTTAATCAAGACCTCAACCTCTGGCAGATAGCATTGCTATCGACTTTCAGAGACCGTTAGTCAAATATTATAATTTCCAGATTGTTATCTCCCAGATAAGATTTCGAGCGTGGGGAAGGTGTAAGGCAAATAAATCATTGTCACACTTTCGATCAATATTTATTATATGATATTTCCAAGGGGGAGATACTCGTATCATGGGGATACAAAATACAAAATATACCAAAAGTATTTATAAATACGAAATACTAAAAAAAAAAATTGAAGAAGAGCCAGTAAAGATCAAAGGGAGTGAACCGAAAGCAAAAGCGAGGGTGAGTCGGGATCTCAAGTGGCGAGAGTAGAGTGGAGTGGAGAGTAATCCTTGGGCAAACTCACTTGAGGAGTGACACACACATAGAGAGGGAAAGAGAGAGATGGAGAGGGATGGATGGAGAGATACCTGCATAAATTGCCATTCCATTCCCTTTCAGCAGGGGTGGAATAGATCCATCGATGCGTCGCTTGCTTCCCAGAAGGCCGGCCCCGACTACAATGTCGATGAAGATATCTCACGCCTACAAGCATTTCCGGCTTACGGTTACTCCACGAGTGGGACACGACACTGCGATAGAGACCGACACAGGGAGGAAGTGCTTAACAAGTTAACGGTAATTCGACATGCTGGGCGTGTTGAAAGCAAAACAAGATAAGGACCGTGGAAAAGAAGTCTACGCCTAGAAATGTTCACTCCTTCCAAGAAATGCAGATTCTCTGTACGGCCGGACCCTTCGAACAGAACATGACTCTCCAAGAATGCCATATACGAAAGGGTATCTCTCTATAAAGGAAAGATAGAAGAACTCTATGTATAGGAACAAATCGAATTTATTCTATTACTCTATAATTTTTATTGGTGAGATCCTTTCGATAAATTCTTAATATTTAATCGGATTTCAGCGTTTTAGCTTATGCATAACGTTCTTCCATTCATAAATACCACCGCACTGTATCGCTCCCTCTCTCTTTTTACGTAATCCCATGACCCATTATCAGCTTATCGATCCTGCTTCGCCTCGCTTTTAACACCGGAGACAGAGAGCCATACCCAATGGCCCACATAACACCCACACGCGGGGATCCCAACGATTGACAGCTTCATCAAGCGAATCGTGGCCCCGAAACACACTCACACACACACAGAGAGAGAGAGAGAGATCACACACCTCTATAGAGATGTTCGTGTGCGTGGCATCTGCAGCTGGCGCGGGGAACTGGAACTCTCAAAATAAAAGACGGAAAAAACGATATGTACTCGGCCACAGCTTGGGCTTCATTAGGGCCAGGTTCGGTTCGTGCAGGCCAAAGGCAAAGGTGTGCTCCCAGGAGGGGGGTGGGGTTCGAAGCGGCCGCACATAAAACTGTTATTGTCTTCATCAGTCGTCTGTCTGCCGGCCCACACGAACGAGCAACGAACGAAGCAAGACATAACAGCAACAACAAAAGAGAGAAGAAAAATCAGAAGAATTATGAAGACATTAACTCGACCACACAGCACGCGGCCCGGTCCGAGCCCGGGCCCGAAAAAGAGACAAGACGAGACGAGGAGAGCAGAGGAGAGAAGAGAAGAGTCGAACCGATCCGATCCGAGCCGAACCTTATGACCAAAAGTAACAACGAAAAAAGGTACACAAAAAGGTACAAGAAGAAGCAGACGAGACACACAGTGACACTGGCCAGGGAGAGACAGAAGCAGAAACAGAGAATGTGAGAGAGCGAGTGAGTGGAAGAGAGGGGGCCCGAATACCGGAAAGAAACATTCAAGCAATAATCACGGAATTCACTAAAAAAGCAGTTAACGGACAGACAGAGCGGTCCGGTCCGGACGGCAGCGAAGCCTCCACTCCACCACCACTCCACTGTGCGGACGGACGGACGAGTAGTGCGTGTGTGTGTACCTGTGACGACAGCGAGGACAGATGAATCGGCCAGGTAGACCGAAAAGGTAGCCCCGGGGCTGTTGGGTTTTCGAGGTTCGTCTGGAAATAATCAAGAAAATAAAATTGTTACAGCGACTTGTTAGGCAGGTGGAAATTATTTCCATATAAAATTGAAACTGGAGTTGTTTCAATACTTCTTCGAGAGACTGTAGCAGAAGAGCTTTTGCATGATCCTTGGCCCCTCTCCATTTCAGGCCGCGACAGCTGCGCCGGTGGTGGCCACTCTCGCCGTCCCTGTTTCTCCCTTGCACCTGGCACTGCTGGCTGGAGCTACATAACTGTAAAAATTCTGCCTCGGCTTACCTCTCACCTCAGTGGCTCTCCCTCTCTCCCCTGCTCTGAAAGGCACTGCTCCAATGACCTTCAAACCTTTTTTTAACGATTCCATTTTATGGGCATGCAAATTTTCGGTTTCGGTCTCCAAAAAAAAAAAAAAAAGACCTGAAGAAGAGCATGAAATGGAAATAAATGCGGCAAACAGCTTGCTAGTCACGTTTTGGGGGCGCCATAAATCGGCGGCAGGCGATAATTTGCATTCAACGGTTTCACATTTAGTTGTGCCTCTCTTTTAATTGCCGCAAATTCAATTTACTTTCCGCCACGCGAAGTGCCAAAAGGCAAAAGTCTATTTCGTTGTTGGCAATTTTCTGGGTGTGTGGTCCTTGTGGAGAGCGGAGAAAGATAAATTAGCTGGCACAGTGGGACGAATGGATTCCACAAATTTCCGTCTTGTAAAAACTCCACACAGCTCTGGGCACCACACTCGACCCTGTCGATCCCCCCCTCACACTAAAAATAGTCTTTAAAAAGCGTCTTTCATGACGCAGTGACGCAGTTTTCATTTCTTCTCCCATTACGTTTGACAGCTGCCGCAGCTGTGTGAATGGCATGTGAAAATAAAAGCACACAGAGCTCCATTTAAATGCCAAAAGCAAAGAGATACAACAAAACACACAGATACTAAAGAGGAAAAGACCATAAGATATACAGAGACGTAAGCGAGAAGATCGGAAATGTATGGGGCAATGTCGGGGATTTCGTATTCCAAAACGTTATCAAGTGGCATATAACTTTAATGGTAGCTACAAGTTTTATGGCACACGTTTACGTGAGAAACATGGGAAAGCTGGATCACACACACACACAAGGGTTCCCATATATCGAGCAGAGCAGATCCGATCCATCCTTTGTCCATCCATCCAAAAGCTGCGCTGTCGCCGAAAAGCAGGTGCGGGCTTCAAAGTTTCCCCGTAATTTCTTTCCTTTCTTCGGACCAACTGTTGCCCATAAATTTGGTTCGACAATGGCAGAGATTCTCCATATACATACCACACATATGGTGCTCTATAGAGACATTCATTCACTATTCGTATTCATATTCATATTCATATTCATTGCCTTTTGCCTTTGGGTGGTCTGCCATATTGAATTTCATTTTATGCTAAAAACTCTGTTTTTTTTTTTCTTTCTTTTTTTTTTTTTGCTGTTTTGCATTCGATTTTTATTGCGGCATAACTGGGTGCGCTCATATTTTATGGCTTGACGCGCCATATCCCGCTCAAGTGGATTTTAGATTTCCAAACGGCATGGAAAAGTTTTTGTATTCACATTTTGTGGAGTGGTTTCCTAGCCCTGCCGAATCGGGGCCGTGTAATTAAGTAGTCAAGCTCTGTGGGGGGGCCGGCCAGCCGACCGGCACCGCCCAGGGGAAATTTGATTTGATGGTGGATGATGTGTCGGTTCTTTTGATTGATTGACGGCTGATTGGAAATTTGTATTTTAGGAAACTTATAATTACTTTGTTTTTTTCTTAAATTTAATAGAACTTTGAAACTATAGAGAATAGGGAGGAATACTATAGTCTGTAGATCAATATAGTAAATACCCCAGGGCTACATAGATTCGAAACCATCGTTATTCTTCCATCCCAAGTGGTACCCTATTCTTCAGTACCTGCACCTGCACCGCTGCATCTCTCTCTCTCTCTGCCCATCTCTGTTTCTCCTTCTGAGCGATTGGTCATGGGATCCGAGGCCTAAGCTCGTCTGGGGTCTTAGTCCGGCGGGATTACGAAGGCTGGTGTGTGCGCATTTCTAATGAAGACGTTTCCAGGAGGGAGAGAGCACTACAAAGGAACAGTTTCAGGAAAAAGAGCCATGATCATAAATCAATATGTGACACATTTCCTCACAACGAGCCTCAGTGGCAGCCTCGGGGGGTGTGTGCCGCAGCGGCACGCAGATCAAGGAGAGGAAAAACAGCAACAACAAGATTGATGATATGTGTCACACACACAGTGCAAGCAGGGCATCGTGTGGCAGATGCAGAGCGAGAGGGACAGAGAGTGCAGGCTGACAAGCGTTAACAGTAAGCGACCAGGCTGATGTCTCAACAAATCGCACAGTTTGAGAGGAACTGGAATGAATACCTGGCCAAATCTAGATTATGTTTATTTTTAGCTGTGGCTGCCCCCTCGGGGCCCACTGCAACAATGTTATACCTCCCCTCCGAAGGGGCGGCGGCAGATTGAGAGACGGACAAATTCCTAGAATACTGTGTTGCCTCTTCTTTTGTTTGCCTCACTCTCGCTTGCACCTAAGCAGCAGCTGAATGGAAAAGGGAGCGGCGAGGAGCATACACAACATTATGGAAAATTTCCACGAACAGGTCGCCACAGGCGGCGCAGTGGCAGCCTCGGAGTCTCTCAAAGGGGATTCGCCGCCAATGACTTAATTAATGGCGACAAAGTCGAACGCGCAGCGTTTGATGTGCTCTCTCTCTCTCTCTATCTCCCTATCTCTCTTTCTCTTTGCGGAAGTGCAGCGGACAATCTTGCATAAACAAGCAGCGGCAGTGGCGTCGGCAGGAAGTGCCGCCTCTCCCACTCTGGCGGAGAGGATGGAGTGGGAGGGGGAGAGCAAACAAAGACATTAAGCGTGGATTATTTATGGGTGACTCCTGCTCTATCTTAACGGTAGTCGTAAAATGCTCAAAACGCCAACAACAAAGGCACTCTAAGGTGGCTCCTTCTCTCCTTTCCACTGCCCAGCAGCCTATCCCGCGTTTCACTCATCTTTCGCATACTCTTTCAGAGAATAGTAATACCTCTCCGTTGTATGGCTCTCTTGGCCATTAGGGGGCTCCATATGTAAGGGCATCTAAAGCCACGGCTATCAATGACGGCCTTTCTTTTACCTACAACCTGACTGCACTTCAACTGAGTTCTGGCTGGAGAAAAATCTGTGAAAAGCGATAAACTGCGGCCCCAAAGAAGAGAGCTAAACTTCGAGAAGTTTCTCGGTCTCGGGCTCGTTTTGTGTGGAATGCGTTCCGTTCTGTTCTGTTCCTGCGAGCTCTGGGTGTGCCTTTGTGTGCACAGTGGGTCTGGATGGATTTGATTTGTATGGCAATTGTAATGACAATTTAGCATAGGACCAATAGGGAATACACTTTAGTTTTCCATATCATTAATTCTTTGAGGTACACAAAAATGTACTTTAGGGAATATTTCAATGCAGTTTTTGCCAGCCTTGACCCACTGTTTTTATGATTGTTCGACTCAAACTTCGATTGAGACGTTAGCGTTAGCGCGCGCCTCATTATTATTATTTTTTGGGAACGGGGTGCCTCAATTTTCGTGCAGCGCTGCAACAGACACGAATTGAGCGGAGGAGAGAGGGAAAGCCAGAAAGCCAGGCCCCTAGCCGATCGATCCAATTGCCCAAGCAGGCGATTATAGGTTCGCTTCTTTTTCTTTTCTTGTATTTTTTTCGGCCTGGCAACGTCGTCGGCGACAGCGGCGTCTTGTGTTGTTTTTGTAGGTCTGCTGCGGCTGGATGTTGGGTTGGGTTGGGCCCGCCGGGCCGGGCCGGGAATTGGGAATGGGAATGGGAATGATGATGATGATGGCTTCATCGGGACGCTGCTCTGCTCCCTCTGTGGTCGGTCGCAGATGCCACGAGAAACACACAAATAAATTATATGGCTGTGCCGGGGCCACACGCTGTTTCGTTATAATTTTAATGCGTTATTTATGGCATCCACCGAAAGGGAAACGACGAATTCGACAAGATCTGATCCATGGAAACTAATTCCGTTCTGTTCCGTTCCGTTCTGTTGCAGGGTAAAGCGCGTGGCAGCCGGACGGCCATCTATCTGCGTTCAGTATTCCAGTCCCACCTCGAAACGCTCGGCAGCTCTGTGCAGAAGCATGCGGGCAAGGTGCTATTCGTGGCCATCCTGGTGCTGAGCACCTTCTGTGTGGGCCTGAAGAGCGCCCAGATTCACTCGAAGGTGCACCAGCTCTGGATACAGGAGGGCGGCCGCCTCGAATCGGAGCTGGCATACACGCAGAAGACCATCGGCGAGGACGAGTCCTCCACGCATCAGCTGCTCATCCAGACGGCCCACGATCCGAATGCCTCGGTGCTGCATCCGCAGGCGTTGCTCTCCCACCTCGAGGTGCTGGTCAAGGCCACCTCCGTCAAGGTGCACATGTACGACGCCGAGTGGGGACTGCGAGACATGTGCAACTCCCCGACGACGCCCACCTTCGAGGGGCACTACTACATCGAGCAGATACTAAAGCATTTGATACCGTGCTCGATCATCACGCCGTTGGATTGCTTCTGGGAGGGCAGCCAGCTGCTGGGACCGGAGTTTCCCGTGAATATACCGTGAGTAATCCTTAGAAATCGTAACATCCCTCCTCCAGTTACCTAATCCTGCCCCTCGATACTCTCCGCTCCTGACAGTGGCCTCAATCAGCGCCTCATGTGGAGCACCCTGAACCCCGCGTCGGTGATGCAGTTCATGAAGCAGCAGATGTCCGACCAGAAGATCAGCTTCGACTTCGAGACCGTCGAGCAGTACCTGAAACGGGCGGCCATCGGTAGCGGCTACATGGAGAAGCCCTGCCTCAATCCGCTGAATCCCAGTTGCCCGGAGACGGCCCCGAACAAGAACAGCACCACGCCGCCAGATGTGGGGGCGATTCTGTCGGGCGGGTGCTACGGCTATGCGGCCAAGCACATGCACTGGCCGGAGCAGCTGATTGTGGGCGGGGCGCAGCGGAATCGCAGCGGACACCTGAAGAAGGCCCAGGCCCTGCAGACGGTGGTGCAGCTGATGACCGAGAAGGAGATGTACGACCAGTGGGAGGACAATTACAAGGTGCACCACATCGGCTGGACCCAGGAGAAGGCCGCCGAGGTGCTGAATGCCTGGCAGCGGAACTTCTCCCGCGAGGTGGAGCTCCTCCTGCGCAAACAGTCTCGCATTGCGGCCAACTACGACATCTACGTGTTCAGCTCGGCCGCCCTGGACGACATCCTGGCCAAGTTCTCGCATCCGAGTGCCCTGAGCATCGTTATCGGCGTCGCCGTCACCGTCCTTTACGCCTTTTGCACGCTCCTCCGCTGGCGGGATCCCGTTCGGGGCCAAAGCAGCGTGGGTGTTGCTGGTGTCCTGCTCATGTGCTTCAGCACAGCGGCTGGCCTGGGACTGTGTGCCCTGATGGGGATCGTCTTCAATGCGGCCAGCACCCAGGTGGTGCCGTTCCTGGCCCTGGGTCTGGGAGTGGACCACATCTTTATGCTGACGGCGGCGTATGCGGAGAGCAATCGCAAGGAGCAGACCAAGCTGATCCTGAAGAAGGTCGGACCCAGCATCCTGTTCAGCGCCTGCAGCACGGCCGGCTCCTTCTTCGCGGCCGCCTTCATTCCGGTGCCTGCGCTGAAGGTCTTCTGCCTGCAGGCGGCCATCGTGATGTGCTTCAATCTGGCGGCGGCTCTGCTGGTCTTCCCGGCCATGATCTCCTTGGATCTGCGGCGGCGCACAGCCGGACGGGCGGACATTTTCTGCTGCTGTTTTCCCGTGTGGAAGGAGCAGTCCAAAGTGATGCCGATGAACAACAACAGCCTGCGGGGAGCACGGCACGTGAAGAACTGCAACAACAACCGCGTGGGTCTGCCTCCCCAGCCACCATCCCAGAACCCCCTTCTGGAGCAGCACGCCAGCGGCGTCCCCTCTGCCAGCAGCAAAAGCAGCAGCAGCAGCAGCTCCCTGCCGTCCTTCTCGCTGTCCAGCTTCGCCTTCGAGTACTACACGCCCTTCCTGATGCGCAGCTGGGTGAAATTTCTGGCCGTGATGGGCTTCCTGGTGGCGCTGATCTTCAGTCTGTACGCCTCCACCAAGCTGCAGGATGGCCTGGACATCATCGACCTGGTCCCAAAGCACAGCAACGAGCACAAGTTCCTCGACGCGCAGACGCGCCTCTTCGGCTTTTACAGCATGTACGCGGTGACGCAAGGCAATTTCGAGTACCCCACGCAGCAGCAGCTCCTGAGGGACTACCACGACGCATTCGTCCGAGTCCCGCATGTGATCAAGAACGATAATGGGGGCCTGCCGGACTTCTGGCTGCTGCTGTTTCGCGACTGGCTTAGCAATCTGCAGCGCATCTTCGACGATGAGATCCGGGACGGGCGACTGAACAAGGAGGTGTGGTACCCGAATGCCAGCAGCGATGCCATCCTGGCGTACAAGCTGATCGTACAGACGGGCCATGTGGACAATCCGGTGGACAAGGAGCTGGTGAAGACGAATCGGCTGGTCTTCAGCGATGGCATCATCAATCCGAAGGCCTTCTACAACTATCTCTCTGCCTGGGCCACCAACGATGTCTTCGCCTATGGAGCCTCTCAGGTAGGTCCTTCAAGATCGTTTAGTTGCTCTGCAATATTTACTAACTAAATTTGATTTTGCAGGGCAAACTGTATCCAGAACCGCGTCAGTATTATCATGCGCCCAACGAGTACGACCTGAAGATACCCAAGAGCCTGCCCCTGGTCTACGCACAGATGCCCTTCTATCTGCACGGCCTGACGGACACCTCGCAGATCAAGACCCTGATCGGACACATACGCGACCTGAGCGTTAAGTTCGAGGGCTTTGGTCTGCCCAACTATCCCTCCGGTAGGTCCAAACCCTTCAAAAAGTATATTTTCGAAAGCTAACAGATCTATCTTCAGGCATTCCATTCATCTTCTGGGAGCAGTACATGACGTTACGCTCCTCGCTGGCCATGATCCTGGCGTGTGTCTTGCTGGCTGCCTTGGTGCTGGTCTCCCTGCTCCTGCTGTCCGTTTGGGCCGCCGTGCTGGTGATCCTCAGCGTCTTGGCATCGCTGGCCCAGATCTTTGGGGCCATGACCTTGCTGGGCATCAAGCTGTCGGCCATACCCGCTGTCATACTCATACTGAGCGTGGGCATGATGCTCTGCTTCAATGTGCACATCTCCCTGGTGAGTCCCCCATATAAAACACGGCTCAAAACCTCGACTAATCTTCGACCTTTCCTTAGGGCTTTATGACTTCGTTGGGCAATCGTCAACGTCGCGTCCATCTGGCCATGCAGCTGTCATTGGGTCCCCTGGTGCATGGGATGCTCACCTCTGGGGTGGCCGTTTTCATGCTCTCTACGTCCCCCTTCGAGTTCGTCATCCGCCACTTCTGCTTCCTGCTGATCGTGGTCCTCTGCGTGGGGGCCTGCAACAGTCTGGTGGTCTTCCCCATTCTGCTGAGCATGCTGGGGCCAGAGGCGGAGCTGGTGCCGTTGGAACATCCAGATAGGATATCCACGCCCTCGCCGCTGCCAGTGCGCAGCAGCAAGCGCTCGAACAAGTCGTTCAGTGGGAACGGCTCGCGTTCGTCGTCGCGCAACAACTGCCAGAAGGCGCACCACTACCACAAGGACGTCAACATCAACGATCCCTCGCTGACGACCATTACGGAGGAGCCGCAGTCCTGGAAGTCCAGCAACTCCTCCATCCAGATGCACAACGACTGGAGTGCCCCCGCACCGCCGCCGGCACAGACAACGAATAACTTCAACAACAGCAACTATCAGCATGGCGGGGGATCGCGACCCGCTTCGTATGGAGCACCACCACCCGCTTACCACAAGGCCGCACAGCAGCAGCAGCAGCAGCAGCAGTATCCGCCGGAACTGCAGAGCATCGTTGTCCAGCCGGAGGTGACGGTGGAGACGACGCACTCGGACAGCAACACCACCAAGGTGACGGCCACGGCCAACATCAAGGTGGAGCTGGTCACGCCCGGGCGGGCGGTGCGCAGCTATAACTTTACGAGTTAGCACTAGTTCCTGTAGCCATTAGCCAGTATCTTTAACTGTAACTCTAACTGTATATGTATAATCGAGATATCTATATATATATATGTGTATATGTGTATGCATGTTAGTTAATTTCCGCGAGTTAAGTGTTCCGTTATATGTAGCAGCTGCTATGCCCCACAACCTCCTACCTCCTCTACCTATCCGCCACCCCTTTCGCTCCACTACCCCACTCTACCCTCTACCTTCTACCCTGAACCCCAACCCACTCCTCTGCCTAGCAGCTTTGTATGTATGTATTTAGCTCTTAAGACATTTCTTATACATAGAGATACATATTTATTATAACACACACACACACAAGCACACACTGTACTTACACACACCAGCACAATTGAAAGCGAGATTCACGACACCCACACACACACACAAACAAACAAACTAGTAATTTATAGTCTATAATTTAGTTTAAATATGTACATACAAAAAAGAACCACAAGGACTTGAACCAAAATAGTATCGCTTATATGGAAGCGAATGAAACGAGAGAAAAGAAAGTACTATTACTAAATCGAGAAATAACAATTACAAACAGACACAAAAAACAAAAACCACAAAAAAAGCCCTCCCCCGTAACAGTACTTACAGCCAAAATAAAATGAAAATATAAATACATAATTGAAAAACAAAAAACAAAACGATTAATGGAAACGAATAAGAATGGAAGAACTATTCTAAACGCGGCATTTATCCATGTAAATTTGTTGCACGAAGACTGAGTGTCTTTCATTTAAATAAAATATACAGTTTTTTAAAAGCGAACCGTACCGTTTTCTTCATTTAAAATTTGAATTCATTTTTGAATGGACTGCTTTCAATAACAGTGTAGTTTCACTGCTTGAAGCGTAAAAGTTTAATAAACACTGCTTGCTTCTGCAGAAATCCGATGGATATCGACCCACTCTAGGTCACACACCATGCCACTCTTACCGGATAAGCGATATTTATAAATATCGATATCTTGGAGAGCAACTGATAACCAGCCACCAAAACGGTAGAAATTCACATTTCAAATAAAAGTTCTTTGTCTATACATTTTTTTTCTTGATGTTTATATCATATCCTTCTCACTCATTCATTTTCAAACTTAAGCGCAAATCTTTACTATCCAATCGCTGGTATTGAAAGACGGTTAAATGCTCTCTTCTTGTGACACATTCACATATTTTCTTTGTGGAATACTCACTTTTGTTTCAATAAAATAAAAAATGGTACTTAATATGAGTTAATATTGTAGAAAATTGATTCAACAATAAAACTCGGTCAACAGAGCTGAGTATCCTAGCTAGCGAGAAATGTTTAGCTGAATATCAAAATCAAGGAATAGGATGATAGTTCGCCAGTGATTTTGGAGATTCATGTCTGAGAACCACCTGGATATACATAATGGCAATCACAAAATAAGCAAATTAACAAGCTTAACAAAGCTATTGGATCACCTTTGCAATGGTGGCTGATGCTTTTTCTTGTATATAAAACCATTGAATAATGTTAGAACAAAGAAGAAAACTACCGTTAAAAGTCCTTTTCCAAAGAGCACAGTAATTTTTGATCGAGTTGAGTATACAATTAAAGAAAAGGTTGCCTTTTAACGAGAAGGATTTTAAACTTCTCTCATTCCTAAACCCTGAAGACATAGTCAATGGCCAATTTTCATGACCTGTAAAAAATATTTCCTCAACTTATTAAAGATCCGCAGGGAATCGATAGTGAATTTGTCCTCTTAAAATATGATGAGGTTCTTTAATTTATTAAAAACACACAAAAGTTCTGGCAATTTCTGGTATACATTGGGACAAATAAAAGATTTCAACAATGAATTAAAATATGAAAAAATTTCAAAATTTGCACAAGTACTGCTTATATTGCCAGTTTCGAACGCAACATGTGAAAGAATTTTCTCCGAAGTGAACTTTATACAAACAAATACAAGAAATAGATTTAAGAATATAAATATTTCAAATCTTTTATATGTGAGACAAGGTCTAAGGAAGAACAACGGTTGCGAGAATTTTGAACCGAACACTGAAATGCTGTTAAAAAATCCCAGCGACATCGTTAGTGACGATAGTGATGTTAGTGATTAGTATATTATTAAGACTTTATTATTATTAAGAAGTCTTATTAACACTTCAGATTATTAAATGAAATGAATGAAACAATTATTTCGAATAGGCCAATCAAGTAGGAAATAGATTCACCAATCGTATAAAATTATGTGGGCATGGCTAAATCTTCCATATAGCTGATATTCGACGGAAGATCAAAATTGAGGGAATCGTCGTATTTGCTGAATCGGTAATGGCCCGGTTGACAACATTTAAATCCTTGTCGCTCACATTCAGAAAAGTTAGATTTGGCGCGCACCACTCGTAACCAGCCGATAGTATCGATAACCGAACTTGACTCGGGTAAGGACCTCTTATACCCGATTGACAACAATGAGTCTCATTCCATACACAAACATGTTGCTAATTCCATGCACATACCCTGGGGGAAATGGATGTTATAGAACTGCGAAAATATATGTCATCCAATTCTCTAATTAATGCAGAAACTGGTCAGTATCTATTTTAAACGATATTTTGCAATTAGTGGTCTTCTTACAGAGACAAAGAATCGCTACAGGGATCAGGATTTGTATACAAGAACCTAATCAAATGCATGAATAGGCCTTAAAAATGCAATTTAAGACAAGGTCTTTACTAATTACGTTTGAAAGCAGGTTGGAAAACAGTATCTTTATATAATATTATAATAGGGTATTCAAATGACCACACTCTGGTTGGCAAGAAATGAGTCTGCAAATACCAGCAACATTGCGACTGTTTTTTTTGTTGACCTATTTTGTTTAAACCTTGTTTTAGTCAAAACCAATTGTGTAGAAAATTGATGCATTAATTGGATAAAATTAAGTGAGCAGCGCTGAGGGTTCTATTTAATTAGTTATATTCCACGGAAGATAAAAAACGAGTAATATATAGATATATATCTGATGGTCGGACGGTATATTTTAACGATATTTCCGCGGTCAAACTGCTCCCTGTCAATTTCATCAATCTATTAATTTAATTTTCAATGTTATATAGAAATCCAATAAATGCAAGTATTTCGAATAGGCCAATCATGTATAGAATTGATTCACTTATCGTATAAAATTAAGTGGGCATGGCTAAATGTTCTATATAGATAGTATTATTCAACGGAACAAAGAATATGAGGAATTGGTCGTTTTTTAAATTGTATTTGAATTCGCCGCAGTTCGCTTTAGCAACAATGAGTCTCGTTCCATACACACTGTTGCGGCAACATTTACTTGAAAACCGTATTTTAGTCAAAATAAATTACATTAAGGTAATTAAAAGAAACAATCTTGTAGAAAATGCATTTATCTATGGGATAAAGCTAAGTTGGCAAATCTATATAGCTTGAAATATAGGCAATACCCGATTCGCCGCAGTTTCGCTATTGCAACAATGAGTCCCATTCCATACACAAATGTTGCTAATTCCATGCACAAATGTTGCTAATTCCATGCACACATACCCTGGGGGAAATGGATGTTATAGAATTGTGAATACGTTTGTCATCCCAGGCAAAATCAATTTATTTTTTTAATATATTTTAATATTATTCAATATTATTTTCATATTTCAACGATATTTTAAAGCTTATTGTCTTCTTGTAGGGACCAAGAATAGGTATCAGGTTCCAGATATATATCTTCATCATCATCATATACATGAATATGTCTAAAGAATATCAATTTGAGAAAAGGTCTTTATAAGTTACGTTTTATCTTCAAATCAATATTTATACTTTCATATAAAATTAACAAAATAGGGTGCACAAAGGCCTATACACGCATCACGTCTTTAAATACCAGCAACATTGCGATTGATTTTTTGTTGAACTATTTTGTTTAACCCTTTTTTACAATAAATAAAATAAAAGCAAGGACTAAAAACTAACCAATTGTGTAGAAAATTGATTCATTAATCGTATAAAATTATGTGGGCATAGATAAAGGCCCGGTAGACAACATTTAAATCCTTGTCGCTCACATTCAAAAAATTTCGATTTGGCGCGCACCACTCGGTATATTTTTCAAATGAGACCGTATATTTCGGTGCTGTTCCGAGGGTCATACTGTAGAAATACTGGTTTTCGCCGCGCTCCTGTGGTATTTTTGCCAATTTCATCAATCTATTAATTTAATTTTCAATATTATAGAGATCTCCTTAAAATGCAAGTATTTCGAATAGGCCAATCATGTATAGAATTGATTCATCAATCGTACAAAATTAAGTGGGCATGGCTAAATATTCCATATAGATAGTATTATTAAACGGAACAAAGAATATGAGAAAATTTGAATTCGCCGCAATTCGCCGCAGTTCGCCGCATTTCACCCCAATTCGCTTTAGCAACAATGAGTCTCATTCCATACACAAATGTTGCGCATTCCATACACAAAAGTTGCTGCAACATTTACTTGAAACCCGTTTTTTGGTCAAAATAAAATACATAAAGGTAATTAAAAGAAGCAATTTTGTAGAAAATGCATTTATCTATGGGATAAAGCTAAGTTGGCAAATCTATATAGCTTGAAATATAGGCAATACCCGATTCGCCGCAGTTTCGCTATTGCAACAATGAGTCCCATTCCATACACAAATGTTGCTAATTCCATGCACAAATGTTGCTAATTCCATGCACACATACCCTGGGGGAAATGGATGTTATAGAATTGTGAATACGTTTGTCATCCCAGGCAAAATCAATTTATTTTTTTAATATATTTTAATATTATTCAATATTATTTTCATATTTCAACGATATTTTAAAGCTTATTGTCTTCTTGTAGGGACCAAGAATAGGTATCAGGTTCCAGATATATATCTTCATCATCATCATATACATGAATATGTCTAAAGAATATCAATTTGAGAAAAGGTCTTTATAAGTTACGTTTTATCTTCAAATCAATATTTATACTTTCATATAAAATTAACAAAATAGGGTGCACAAAGGCCTATACACGCATCACGTCTTTAAATACCAGCAACATTGCGATTGATTTTTTGTTGAACTATTTTGTTTAACCCTTTTTTACAATAAATAAAATAAAAGCAAGGATTAAAAACTATCCAATCTTATAGAAAATTGATTCATTAATAGGATAAAATTATGTGGGCATGGCTAAATGTTCTATATAGCTGGTAATATTCAACGGAACAAAGAATATGAGGAATATGTAAAATTGATCTGGTATATTTTGAAAATGAGGCGGTATGTTTCGGTATATTTCTGGGAGTCGGACAGTGATGGATTTAATTTTTATTTAATTTACAATTTACGTAGTGTTCGAGAAATATTTAAGCAATTCCCAAATGTAGAAAATTGTATGGACTCTATTTCCTGTTACAAGTTACAAGTTTGCTGTACAAGAAGGCTGAAGGCGTTGTAAAGACTTATCAACGCATGATACACATATTTTCGCGTGCAAACTAATGATGTAAACAAGTGCTCCCAACATCTACTATTCTTCAACTTGGCAATATCCAATATATCCAATATACAATCAACATAAATACAAAGAACGACGATAAGTCGTGATAGCTCTAAGAAGACACAGCAAGATTGACAAGATGAACGGAAGGTAAGCCAGCAGTGCGGACTGTTCTATAAATACATATCTACTTACGCACATACATATGTGCAATTATGTTCCTCCCAGTGCTCTCTGTGGGGTTGCGGAGCCGGCCGACTTCCAGGCAGCCGCTGCAACTGCCGCTGCAGCTGCGGCCGCCGCCACTAGGGCCAACAGCTCCTCGGACCGGGATGAGTGGAGCGTGAGCGAATGCGGCTTTATGGATCCCGAAGTGCAGCGGACAATGCGGAGTGGCAGTACCGCAGAAGACATAACACTGTATCCACTGCATGGATGGCTTGATGTAAGCGACGAGTTTCTTGCTGCCTGTAAAGAACTGATACCCGGAGAACTGGCGCAGGACATGATGTTTGGTCTCTTCGAAGCCATGTCTGCGATTGAGATAATGGATCCAAAGATGGATGTGGGCATGGGCTTCGATAAGTTGGATTTGCCTCCGCCCTCCTTTGAGGTAGCCATCGCGGTAAGAATGGAGAAGACAGTCAGTCTCATACACAGCTCATCTCTTCATTTGCACCCATTCCAGACGGGCGTTATTAAGCTGGACAACCTTACGCCCACCGAACTGATCGGGATCTTTGATTCTCTATTCTCCTGCGTTGTGTCCTGGCTGGAGGGGAATTCCATGGATCAGGTGCTGTTCAACTGTCTCTATCTGCACGCTCCCTCTAAAATCAAGGACAAGGCGCTGCGCGTCTTCTGCACTGCAGTGCGTAATCTCATTGTGGTCATCAAGAGCATCATCATCATAGCAGGTGTGAACGAGGAGGAGGATTTCCAGCTGTACGGAAACTCTGCACTGTTGGCCGCGGAGAAGGCTCATCCCGGCAATATTTTTGGTTATCTGAAGGAGGTAGAGGACGAGCTGGTGCGCAAATGCAAGCAGCTGACATCGCCGGAAGATCTAATGTCCGTGGTGCATCGACTCCGCTTCATGCGGCACCTGTTCCAGGTCATCTACCAGGTGGAGCAGATGGCAGCCAATGACACCGCAGAAGATACAATAAGCGAGATTTACAAAAATCTAAACGTGGCTTCTGAACTGTTGCCGCTTCTGCGCAAAACCATTGATCGGGGCACCCAGCCCGTTGAGGGCTGTAAGTCAGATGGCAGCGATTGCTTTTTAAGTCGTGTCTAACCAATTGTATTCTCCAGCTGAGGCCCCAAATCCCATCGGTTTCTCGACCCGCATTCATGATCGCACTCAGCCGCCCTCATTTCCTCGCAGCATTAAGATCAGAGACCGTCCAGCCAGCTATCAGTTTCTAGAGGAGATGATCTCGCGTTTCAAATACGCCTGCAAAGTGACACGGAATAAGGATTACTTCTCAGCGCTGGTAAGGCTATCGTTAGGACTGTTTGGAAATTTCTACATTTAATTTCGTCCACTTGCAGAACTTCTTTATCGAGTACAGTAAAAAGTCGGGGCAGTGCATCCTTTCGAGGAGCGTTCTGCAGAGTTTGTTCACCGCAAACCTGCGTCTGGTGCATGGTAGAATGCCGATGAAACTGTTTCTGCGGCACTCGGTGCAAGCCTTCAACTCCCCGCCAGTGCTCAGTCCCAAGAATTCGGTGTCCGCTGATCCCAAGGTGCAGCAGCAGCTGGAGAATTTCTTTCGCTACTGCATCAGCCTGAACACCTTCACAATGTTTATACGCATCTGTGGCTTCAATCGCGCAAGGCAGCGGGACAAGCTGGGTCGATTGATTGAGAATTTCGACGCTATACAGGTGGATGCGGCCAGATTGGACTCATTTATGAACCAACTGGCCAACGAGCGGGCCCTGGAGGGAAACGAGCTGCACGCCACTGCACTCAAGCACAGCACCCACTTTTCCACGTGGGTCTTGTACAACTGCTTCCGTGCCATGCTGATCTACCTAATGTCCGGCTTCGAGCTGGAGCTGTATGCTGTGCACGAGTTCCTCTACATCTACTGGTATCCTTATGAGTTTCTGGTGGGTTTCCTCGTTTCGGCACTGACACGCACGGAAAATATTCTTCTGGCCCAGGAGGAATACGCTGAGCACCTGAGCAAGATTCAAGCGAATGGTGGCACCGTCTCCAAGAACCGCAAGGCGGCCAAGCCCAGGAAGAACAAGAAACTACAGCGTCCGTACCGCTGCGAGATAGTCTTCTATCACGCCCTGCTTAGTCTCTGTGGTGGCATGTACAAGGCTATGGGCGCCCTTACCAAAGACGGACGCGTGCGTCTGCCAATGCCCACTTTTGACAACGAGGAGGTTCGATATAATCGACGATTCCGTCCCTTTGGCGCACTAACCAGTCCTCCGCCTGTCAGCTATCAGGAGTTTAAGAGCATCCGCGATCACATGATGCTTGCTAGCGTCGAGGACCTGTACGCTGTTGCAGCAAAGCATTTCGACCAGGCCCGAAATATTTTGGAAAACATACAGAACCCTGACCAGGAAGTGAGTTTACAATTACAGAATCTCTGCCCCAAACATCTCGCTCACAGCTCAAATCTGTTACAGGTGCTGGACCTTCTTCAAATCGCTCGAACCAACTTTGTCGTGATGAATGTGCTGGCCCGTGGCCATCAGAAGGATGTTAAGCGCCAGCCAGAGTTTGATTTTTCAAAGCATAGCTATTTCCCCATTATAAAGTTGAAATAAGCGGCTGGCGATCAGATTTTAAATGTGTGCCACCTCTACTAACCATAACCAACTAAATTAAATGTACGTATGGAGTTTATTATCAATGTTGCTCTTGCGACACAACGTCCTGCTTGACCATGTGCTCTTCCACATATCCCTCAATGGGGCAGCTCTTGGCACAAGTGTAGACCGCCAGTACGCCCCAGTCCAGAAACTCTTCTTTGAGCAGCACCAAGGTCTGCGGCATGATCTGGAACTCGAATTGACGAATCCCACCGCATTGGCTGCAGTTGGGCAGCGATTTCAGTTGATCCGCCACAGTAACGGCTGTGTTTGTTATCCAAAGGGGCTCCCCGCCGCGCTTGTAGCGCACAATCTGCTCGGGCTCGTCGGCGATTTGCTTCTTAAATTGACGAAACGTCTTGTCGTCCGAGCCAGCTGTATTTCCAAAGTACTTGTCCATCTCCGCCTCGGAGACGTTGCTCAGGTCGCCGGTGTTGCCACTGGCCTGTAGCGCTTCAAACTCTGCCAAACGGGCGTCGTCATCTTTGTGATCTTCTTCAACCGGCCTCGTGGGATTGCTCTCTATCACAATCTCAAATTCTTCAAATTCTATCGCTTTAAGCGGCTTGTGCGGCACTGCGTTCGATGACCCGCAGTTAGCCTTGTGGTCGGACCAATGTGCCCGCTGATGAGCAGAGGAACAATAATAGATGGTTTTGCAGCGGCTGCAGGCGTGCGGAGCATAACAGCCGCAGGCGGCACATACTTTTTTCAGGCATGGTATGGGGGGCTGGAAAAAAGTATACACGTCTATATAGATAGTTCAAAAAACCCTTCGTTTCATAGCTTACCAAAGGTTCCCCATCGTCTTCCGCCGCCTGTTCTGAGAAGAATTTGTTTTTCAGTGCCAGCTGAGACCTCAGCACTGTGAAATTTCTGGACAAGCCACAAACATGAGTCGCAGGATAGCCACAAAGCACACAGTTTAAAGCACTTACTCTGCACTATGATCCTGCTGGCAGTCTGCGTTCCGGCACACGAAAATATAAATCGACCGATGAAAGTTGAAATCATCCTCGTGGGGGGCATAAAGTTGGGCTAAGAAAACTTTTGGCGCCTTGCACTTCTGGCACTGCAGCTGTTTGGGGTCCGGGAGTGCCTCCAGCTCCAGCCAGGCCGGTAGTCCACCCAATTTGCTGGGGAAGTAGCGGTTAGTCAACCAACCATTATTGTCCCGTTTCTCGGCAAAACCCAAATCAATTTCCATGTTTTTAACGTGAAGGCTGGCGTCTGACCCTCAGAAATATACCGTATAACCCACCTAAACCCCCTTTATTTAAACAGGTGAAAAACTTAAGCTAAGCTGCGGAAATTGATATTCAGAGAAAATCCTGCTGTTTCAAGTCGTCAGATTGCACTGTGTAACCAAATCAAAACAAGGCGTACGCAAAAAAAAAAACGTTTGTTCAAAACAGGGGGTTTCCCTTACTTGTTTTGTGGTAGAGTTAATACAATTCAGTTCAGAAGAGCCAGTGTTCGAGTCAGAAGTTAATGAAGAACCAATATCTCATAACCATGGTTCCATAACAATTCAATTTCAAATAAACCAGTCATGTAGAAAATGTTTTCAATCCTTGACTGAGAACGATTAACCCAATGTCAGCCAAGGGGGGTATTTTAAAATTGCACCGATAATTATGAAAATTAAATAATTTTAGCGTAGTTCAGATGAGTTATATCGTGTTTTTTTTTAAGTTCAGTGGAAAGTTGACATGGGTCTACAAGAAGAATTTACAACCAGTCAGATTTGACGCCATTTACCTCAAATCGTTGAACTGTTTAAATGGCAGAGGGTTAACTGGGCAAAGTTAACGATATACTAGGCACCAAAATGGAGGCAAAAACAATAAAAGCAATCGCCGTTGAACGAAAACAATTAAAGTATTAAAAACAAGTCAGTCAAGTAGGACATTGATTTACTAATCGGATAAAATTATTTGGGCCGGGCTGCGCATTCTATGTAGCTAGTAATATTCGACGGAACATCAAAAACGACGAATATCTATAATACAACTCGAATTCGTCAGTACATTTTCGGTATATTTTTAAAATGAGACTGTATATTTTTGAAAATTTCTAGGGTTACACAGTATAGGAATATCCGCGGTCACACTGGTTCTCGCAGCCAGCACGGTTCCCGTTCGGATTTAATTTTTATTTAATTTACAATTAACGGAGTAACGTGTTCGAGAAATGTTTATTCACTAACTCATTCCCAAATGTAGAAAATTGTGTGTGATTTTATTTCCTGTTGCTAGCGAAGAGGACAGCAACAAGTTTGTGTAAGAGCAGATTGGATTGTGAAAGCGCAGCAAAGATTTGTCAACGCAAACAAAGAAGAAGAGCATAACAGCGCCATAGTATTTGTTAATAATAATAGCAGTCGCAGCAGCTGCTGCCGCTGAAGCGCCAATAACGACAACAGCAGCCCCCAGCCCCAGTCCCTCAATTGCGGAAGCTGAAACTGCCTTATCGTGTGTTGCTTGTTGCCTTCGGGTGTGCTAAAAATAAAACCCACCCACCCACACGACTACAGATTTTGGCAACAGCACGGGGCAAGGTGAACCTGGTGTGGACTCTTCCAGCACGCTTCTGGCTAAGAAGGTTTAGCCAATGCAGGGACAATGCAGAAATGAAAATTCATAAATACAACGTACCACTGGGAATTTCCGTAAGTAATTTTCTCTTTCCCTGTCATTCCCCCTCAAAATTGGGGTTACATTGGGTTGGAAGGGAAATGGGAATCCGGTTGCCAGCAGAGGCAGATTGCAATTGCAGGAAATAGATTGCTGGTCGGGATGAGCAGATGGTACCAGCAGAAAGTATTCTCAGGCCGGGTGAGCTTTTATTTTGCTAAATTTAGTGCCGCATTGTAGAAAATAAGAATTGGAACACCCTGCCCGACGCTTGCCGGTCACACACACACACATGTACGAGCACCGTACACGGGCATATAATCTATAGACCTGGCTAACATCGTGCCAAGTCTGGCCCTCTTGACGACTGACTACCACCATCTTATTGCATCGCCAATCCTCTGTTAACCTGAAATGGCTAATCAATATTTCATTTAATAGACCAGACCAGCAATGCAAACATTCGCCATCAGCATCGGGCCATAGCCTAAGTCAATAAAAGCTTCCAATCCCGACCATATTGTGTCCATTGTCATTTTGTCAACACATGATTTTGGGCAAATTTTCGGCCAAATTCAAAGGCTTGTTGGCTCGCTTCCACACTGCCGCCTGCGCGCCGCCTGCTTCTGGTGTTGTTTGCCCATAACCGAGCCGATGTCGCCTCTCGTGGCCATCATAGCCAGGCTATTCTGACGGTTTTACATGCCCATCACCATGTGTGTCAACCGCTTTATGACATCCAACTGACATCCCTACGAGGATGTATTGAAAATTCAATTACAATTCAGCTCAATCGCAATGCAGGCAACTGGATGGAATTCTATGAAATTCCCTGCATGCTGCTGCCAATCCGGAAAATTAAGGGAAAACCAGCTCATAGAACGAGCGAAGCTCCGTCATGTCTAAACGGATTCCGAACAATTGGCCCAATTTGCATGAGAAATCCATCGACACTCCTAGCCCATGCCCAGGCATGTTCTCAGCTGCAGGCTGGCATCTTAGTTTCTGCGAAGTTTCCAATTTATTTCTGCTGCTATTTTGCTGTTCTGGCATATTCGTATTGCACTTATTGATTTAAATTCCTCATTTATCTGTTAGTTCACAACTGAGTGCTGTACTTATTCCCTTCCCCCGGCCCCACCTCTGGTTTTATATTATTCTAGTATGGATTCTCTGTTTCTTTACTTCTGTTTCTGATTCTGATTCTCTTTCCATTTGAAATTAAATAAAATGTAATTTCAAAGTGGATTCTCTCGCTAGACTGGGAATTGGAATATTTACCTACGGCAAACATTTTTTCATTAAAAGTCCATTCAATGACGCGTTGATTTTGACAATTATAGGACACGAATTTCACCAGCATTGACATCTTTTTCTGCATTTAAATTAGCTTCGGTGCAGCCAGGGTTTACCCTGGACTCCTACCGTCCAGGCATAGAGGCCTCTAGAAGTCCTTCCTACCTCGTTGTCCCTGGCAACAGGAAGCTGGAGCCCGCAACCTGACTGACGGGCGAGCTGCATTTAAGAGAATTGCTGAGCTCTCGCTCCCGCTAATAAGCTTATGCGCCACTGAAAATAGTTTGCATCCAATTAAGAAAACCGTTGAGTGCAGAGCAAAAGGCAGAGCCCCACCTCCACTACACAGCAGCTGTAACATGATTTATTGGCTTAACTTTGCTTTTAGCATCACAGGAACCCGCAAGGGCTACCTGTGCAACGTCAAAGCTCATTCCCTGTCCGATGAGGAGTCATTTAAGGCAGTAAAACGTACCACTCTTGCTTAAAGTTACATACGTCTACGGGGGACATCCTCCCTCCTCTTGTTTTTCAAACATTCCATAAGCTCCACCTAAATATTTGCACCCAATCCTATCAAATACATACATATGTATGTACATATGTGTTTTTTTAGTTATCACTGTCGTTGGTACAAATACATACATATGTATAGAGGTACACTTAAATGTATACGCTCTGCGCCACTTAAATAGTAGTACATTATGCATCCATATGTACATATATGTTAATATGTATGTACATAAGCAACGCAATAAAACAAAAGAACATTTTAGCCAATATCATTTGGTATGTGACACCAAATTTCTTTTGGTTTCGGTTAAACTTGTTGAAAAATTGATATTCTCTTTCTAATGGTCGTAGTCCAAGATCATGGAGATCAGATATAAAACGAGAGCAAATGGAGAAAAGCAGAGAAACACTAAATCTTTGAATTAATTATCTAATGTAGTAGTACATATGTATTTGTATATGTATGTCCAATATACTGTTATTGCAGGTGTGCTATTCTAGTGGCGCGGAGTGTGTTTTGCTTTCAATCAACCGTTATCAGTGTTTTACGCTCTGTCTCCATCTCCCTCCCACGCACTCGGTCACCGTTCATGCCGTGACTAGTTTCTCCTCTCTCTTCTCTACATACATATATCGCATTTTCTGTTTTCGCTTACTTACTTACTTATCCTCCTCTTTCTCTTCACCCTTTGCTTCGGTGTTCTGGTTTGCATTTTGATTGCACACCAAACCGTGAAATGAGTCACTTCTCAAGGTTACTCCAACGGTTCTCTCTCTCGCTCTCTTTTCGCAGAATTGTTGTTGCTACTGCCTAAAGGCCAATGTACGATCTTTGGCTTATTTTACGATAGCCAGCCGATATCAAAATAATTATAAATGCGAGAGCGAGTGTGTGTGTGTGTATAGAGCGATTATGCGTGTGTATGTTTGTGTGTGGCTCGCATCATGTATCGTGGGGCTTCGGTTGAACATTTGTACGATTTCGCATTGTTGTGCGAGAAGCAGGAAAAACTTTTCTTGAAATTTCACTCTCAATTGATATTCAATTTCCAAATAGAGTTTTGCGGAAAGCTCCTCCTTCGTAGAAGCAATAATTTGCGATCAGGGGAAATCCCCTTTATCCGTTAGTGTTTCCTGCCTAAAACAACAATGATTCATTGAAAACGAGTACTCGTAACAGCCAGACCTGACGATGATGATCCCCCCTAATCCAATCATTCTGTTATCCAATCACCTGCCTTTTGAATGATTCATTGCATTGCGGCAGTCTTTTGTTGAAACTCTAATCACAGGTGAGAAGTCTGGGTTGAGTGGGTGCTCCTCCTTGTTGCCAACGCCATCTGTTTTACTCGGGAAACAAAGACCTTCCGGGCTCCAAGCTATTGGCACGGCACTATCGATGACGAGCCCGCACATGTCCATTGTTTGCTGTTATCAGGCCAGTTATTGTTACTCCACTTGAGGCTAAAACATGCATTGTTTAGTTAGTGCATGTTTTGTGCGAGATGGACAGTTGGGCGTTGGGCGTTGGGCAGGCGGTGTATGGTACTAAAAGATGCATGTTGGGTGGCACGTGCAGCCGGGAGGGGACAATCATTGTTAGGTAATTGCTTTGCCCTGCCTGCAGGCTCATCCACACATTCACATCCATCCACCCATCGACATTATCCTTGTGAAATCAATAGCAAGTGAGATTCCAAAGCATCTCGAGACTTGTTGTAACCTTGTATCGCTTTTGTGGCCTTGTTGCAGGACCGTGAGGCGCGCTGAATGAGAGTCCTTAAAGCAACATGTCGGATTTTGTGCCCCGCGACATTCTGCCCGACTTGTGGCAGGAGATACTTCAGCGTCACTGGTCGTTCCTCGAGACGGAGGAGAGCATTCAAAAGCTCGAGGAGCGCAAGAAGCTAGAGGGTTTGTATAAGTTCTGCTGGAATGCTGGAACAAAACTAATTAATTGTTTTTTATTTGCAGGCTGCCTCAAGGAGTTCCTCTGCGTGGTGCCGCACGATCGCAAGTTCTTTCTGCCAGAGACAGGGCACATCCTGCGCAAATCAGTGCGAGAGCTGACCGACTTCACGGCGCAAAATGCCATCGTGGGATTCGAGACTATCAGCCAGTATGCCAACAACTTGTTTACCAAACCCTGGCGGAAGGAGTACCGAACCCTCAAGGTTGGCTTGTGGCCCATTCTTCACCCATTTGATTGTTGATCAAACGGATTCCCCGACTTTCTGCTTTCAGACCTATTCGGGATGCTATCAGCATGACGTCCTGACTCGTCTGCTCGACGCTGACCAGCTCTTTCTGGCCATGGGCTATAGGCGCATATCGGAGGATACATTTGTCCTGGAGGGCCCCATCTGCCCCGATCAGGTGACAAATGTATCGCGTGATGCCATGGCCGCCTACGTAGAGTGCCAGATCATGAAGCATATCCATGCAGGCGTCCATGCAGAGGGATTCCCATGCAGCTGGAAGGAGATTTTTCAATATCGAGAGCGCCACATTGGAGGCACCACGCATTCGATCAAGGAGATTGTCTTCCACCTGAATGAGAAGCGACTGCGCAAGGAGAAAATGTCGGACAACACATACAGCAATGTGGCGACAATTGCCACCCAGCCCCCGAAGAGCAGGGTAGCGGATGGCAGCGTGAGTGCGAGCCCCTGCGCTTTGCATGGCAACAACCTGGTGCATCCCGCTAGCTCAAACAGCTGCGCCATTCATCCCAATGTTGTTTCCCCAAATCTCAGTCACGACTCGTTGTCGGGGAAATACTTACCGCCATATCCCGCACATCCGCAGCAGCAGCCTCAGCTCCAGCAAACGGCTGGAGGAGGGCTAATGACCCACTCGCGTAGCCTTGATCACTACCAGGAGCCTCACAATGTCCTCCCACATCGACACTCCTTCGATCAGCAGTGCCAGGCCATGCATCAGCACCCCCATCTCTACGAGGAACCCTACGATTGTCTGGACGGACTGAGTATGGGCAGCAGTGCCTCCTATGCGGCAGTCGCCGGTGGCTACAATGCTCCTGGCAATCGTTATCCCCTTCCCTACAACATCTCCAACCAACTGAATGCCCAGTATGCCACGCCCGCCGATGTCTTTACGAATTCAGAGCACAATATGTACGCGACCATTGAGAAGACGGGCGTCTTGGCCTCTGGGCCGGTACACAGCTGTGACTATCACAGGCGTCAGGGTCAGGCCCCACCCTCGGGGGCTGCCGTCGCCGCCATGGCAGCCATGCAGCACAGACAGAGCACGTATCCGCCAGATCATCATCTGATCGATTTCGACGAACGTGCCAATTTGATGCAGCACGACTATGGTGCCCATGACTACCATCCGCGGCTGTACGAGCAACGGAGCCATGGGGGCTACCTGCGTGGCAATTCTGTAATTTACGCGCCACCCCCTGAGCCGACGTCGTATGGGGGCTACGACCTGCCCACGACGCTGCCACACTCGCAGCCGCCGCCACCGACTGCTCAAGACAGGTATGTCTATGCTCGGCCTGTGCCCAAGAGCAGTCGGACACGGGCGCTGGCGGAGTCTGGCTGCGACTCGCGACAAGCCGATCGCGACCTGATGCAGGTAAGTGCCAAAGCTTGTTCACATTCTCCTTAGCTAGTGCAAATATTGACTATTTTCTGGCTACAGGATCCGATGGACAATAATCGCAAAAAGCACAAGGAATTGAAGGAGCGGGCTAGTCGGACGGCGCCCGCGGATGCATACCACAGGAGAGCAGCAGTTAACGATCCTGATATACCCACCACTGTTACGGACATGACAGCGGGCTACGAGACGGCGAGTTTGGAAGATTTCGTAACACTGAGCAGCGCATCCCCGCCCCTGATGCCCAAGGTGCAGGAGGGTGTCGGCAGCTTTGAGTCCTGGAACTATGTATTTAAGAACCTGGAGCGCTCTGGCTACTCCAAAGACTTGGGGGATCGTGAGGATTTGCTAGTGCAAAGCTTGGATTTGGACTCGTTGAACATATCCAATGACAGCGCAAATCCTGCTGAAAAAAGTACGCGACGCGACACAGCCAAGACGCAGACGGTAACACGTGCAGCTAGTGCAGCTGCTGTGGAGGCAAGTGGTGGGAAGGGAACACGTTTCAGTTCAGCCACTACGGAGACAAGTGGGGGGAAGGCACGCACACTGGAGAAGAAGACTGGGGCCATCCGAAGGGAGGCCAAGGTTGTGCAGGCGCCAGCGCCCACGTTGGTGCCGAACAGAAGCAGCACTGGCGTGAAGAAAGTGAAGTCCGCCTTGAAAACGGCCACAATAGACAATAGAGGCACAGGATCGCGAAATCGTAGCGGAGCTGGGCCAAAGCAGCCTCCGCCAGTGTCCACGCAACTGATTGTGACGAGCCCGAATGAGTGGAGTTGTCGTTTCTGCACGTTCCTTAACCCAGACACGAAGCGCATCTGTGAGATGTGCTGCCGCAGCAAGGATTTCAATCTGGAGGCAGCCACAGCGGCGTCGTCATCGGCAGCGGCTGCAGCTGCAGCGGCGAGCGTCTCCCATGCTTCCTCAACCTGCGTTTAGGCGATAGACTGGACAAACTCCCCTCCCCCCTACACCTTCATCCCCTTAGTGATACAAAACAGTGCAGTGAAAAGCTAAATATATTTTTATACGACCCATATGTAGCCCTGTGCGTGTCTCTAAGATCTAGTCTCGTAGCCTACGAATCGCAGCCACCTTTTGTTGTGGAGCGAAGGAGCATCACCAGCAGGGCAGGTGCATCACCTGCATCTAGTGCATACGAACTATTCTATTTAGTTAGCCCTACCTGTAAACACACGCTTTAATTAGTTATAGATTGTTTCCCCGTTGTTGAGGCCGCCGCTTCTGTTTCAAATTAGTGCCTCCCTGTCTGCTGTCCCCACACTAGCATACAGTATACATGCGAAAACATATTGATTTTATAGATTTGTGAGCGCGTGCCAGACAGCGAGAGAGTAAAACACGAACTTTGTATATTTGTAGGAAATGGAAAAACAACTGATAATTATATACCTTATATTCATAGTTGCATTCATAGTACGTACATATATCCGAAACTGAGCGAAAATGAACTTTATATTCATACATATATATATATTCACCAAATCTCGAACAGCCAATATACCTTTATTGACCTTTTCATACTAAATAATACCTATAACTGTAGCATAAGTAATTGAAATTTAAGTAACGATCGAGCAGAAAGAACAGAACTGGTACGGGTAAGGGTACGGGTACGAGTACGGGTACGGGTTGTTAACTTACAATTTTTGATTCGAATTTTACTGAAAGGAAGTAAGAGTATAGTGCAAATATCTACAAATGAACTATTATACGTTTATTCTCCCCAGTCCTCCCCTCATGAGAGGAGCAGAGGAGCTCAACGGAATTCAAAAGGGCATAGACAGAGGATCAAGCAAACTGCTCATCCCACCCACCCCAATGCTAGATAGCCAGAACCCCGCCACACGAGCACACAGACAGTGTCCCCCCTCCCACGCAATGCAATTTGTTTGTTGAAATGTTAAGATTAATGTTGATAGAGTAGGAACCCTGAAAGATGCGAAAGCATATACGATATTTTTATAAATAAAAGAAACCACGTACCTATTGCTCTTTGTTAAATATGTATATTTAATTGGGTTTTATTTGATTTGATTCATTTATTGTTAGTATTTTGAGACCCAAATGCCTTTTGTAATAACCATTGCAGACAAATCCAAAAATGATGAAATAATAAGTAGATAAAAACCACATTTTGCTGAAACTTTCAAGCGCAATCTTCGCTCAAAATTATAATAAAAATCGAAAACTCCAAAACTAAAACTAAAATTAATTTAATATTATGGCATGCTATTACCGAATGAATTTAGAGGCAATCTTTTTCCCGAAACCTTAAAGAATGAAAACAATAAACGTTTGATAAACCTTGACAGTTTAACTTTTCAGAAATCAAACAAATATTCGTGTTTGATTGTTTTTTTTTTTCACTATAAATTTCCAGTAAATTAAATCGTTGATGAAGGATGGTCCTACTTCTGCATGTGGGCCTTGCCATTGCCATGGTGATGATCCCACTCCTACCGCAGGGGTCCGCCTACAACTATTGCCATAATGATACCCATTTCTGCCTTGCGGCCAACAGGCAACACTTCATGTGCCGCCTGGATGCAGAGCTTCCGCCCGTTGCTGCTTACAAGGGCACCATTCCGGACACCAAGAAGTTTCATGCGATCATTCTGAAGCAGCTTAACTCCTATCGAGACAGGTTGGCCAGCGGTTTCCTGGAGACACGCAGCAATAAAATCTTCCCTGCTGCCAAGCGAATGCGAGAGCTTATCTGGGATCTGGAGCTGGGCTACATGGCCCGCAGCCACGCCTCCACGGTGTCGTTCAAGCACTCCGAATGCCGGGCCACCCAGCGGTTTCCGATGGCAGGCGAGGCGCTGGGTGTTGTGGGCTCCACAATGGACCGCCGCAGCATGTCCGATGTACTAAGGTTGGCTTTCGATCGGATGTTTGATGAGCACCTAGATGTGAAGGATCCCGAGTCGCTCATATCAAACTTTGATGGCAGCAGAGACATAACTGCCGGTCACTTCAGTACCATTGTCAGCGATCGCGTTTCGCGTGTGGGCTGTGGGGTCGCTGTGGCCACAGAATGCAGTGACGACCTGCCCAAAGGGCATTGTCACTTCCTTACCTGCCACTTTGACTTCACCAATATTCAGGGCTCGTATGTATATAAGGAAGGACCACCTGCCACCGATTGCCAGATCTGGGAGGCGGACCCCAGTAAGGACTATCAGCATCTTTGTGGCAACGAGGGAGGAATATTCGGACAGGTCAGTATATACAGCTGCTGCACCTGCTCTTTTATCCCATGTGCGTCCCCTCTTTAGGATCATGGCGATGAGGACTTGAGTAATACAACAAGAATCTTGGGTGTTTAATATACATATATTCTGTATTATGTATGCTATGCTTCCTATGATTTCCTTGTCGTACGAGTACCAAAGCTCAAGCGTAACATCCGAAATACAATTGTTACAATTCCTACGATCCTTTTTTAATTGAACTAACATTGACCAGGCCAGTTCGGTTCGTTTGGTTTGCTTCTTGTGTGATTTAATTACAAATTTAATTGGAATATATGATGTATTTTTTCAACATTTCTGTAGTTTTTTAGTTTTAGTTTGGTTTGTTTAATATTCATAACCATTTAATACTCTAACACTCTCTAATAGCTAACAGACTTAGTCAGTTTTTGCTTTTACTATCGATTATGGTACCTTTACTATTTGTTATCTTTGTTTCATTTCTTCTACCAATTTTGGCTTTTATCTGCTTCGTTTACGAATGAAACCCCCTTCATCGCGGAACACTATTTGTAGCGTAAGATTAAACACGTATCATACTATATATTGATCATTCAAAGATTCTAGATTGGGACAATACGAGTACTATTTTACCTTCAGATTACGTTTATCAGATCGTTTGGATTAATACATAAATAATTAACGTTGTGCCGTTTCATATCGTGTCGTCGTATCGTGTCGATGAAGTTAACTTAGTTTCGCATAGACTTTCAGGAGATCGGATCAGAGCATCAGTATCCCCGCCACAGAGCACAAAAGTGCCGACTAGCTTAATCTATCGCTTGGCTGCTGTTCATTTTCGTTAGTAATTAGCAATTCGCGGAATCCAAGGGGTTGGGTGGGGGATAAGCCCAGATAGAGCTACGAATACGAGTATACATTTTCAAGGGCACTGGAATGCCGGCCAACTACACCTTATTGTTGGATCATGTTCAGAGTAATTCTTCTAGTTTTCTATGCATGTACAAAAATACATATAAACCCTACAGATAAAGCAAAGTTTTGGGGAATTTCGGTACGATAAGCTCGAGTTTTACCGCAGTAGTGAGAGCCGAGTGCCAAGGCCTTCCACAATCGTTTCATTCGAGGGATATAAGAACCCTAAAGGAAAGAACACACTCAGGGATATTCATATTTTCATCTTCAAGGTGGGTTAATGCCTATATTATAATTAGTTCGTCTTCGATTCGATTTGATTCGATTCGTTTGCAAAATGTTGCCCAAAATTTTGGCTTTGCTTACATATCTATAAGTCCTACACTCGACACCAAAAATATATGTACTTATCGCCGCTTTCTTTTCTTAGGGACATTCCATTCCCAATTGACCTTTTTAAGGCCCTTTCGCTTGCGCTGGCTGGCCAATTGGCATTCCATTCTATGAATTACTTTACTTGATACTCTAGAATAACAAACATATACATATCAGTGCACTTGTATGGCAAAAAAGTGTGCAAACATTCAGTGCAAATTAAGTGAAGCTGCTCCTTCTCTTTCCCAACGGGGTCTCTGTACGGGTGTACAGAATAGGAGGAGTATTATAACGTTTTACACATACTCGTACAAGCTTGTGAAGCTTCGTTTCGACTAATGTTTTACTAATTCTATAAGACAATGGGACATCTGTTCAGCAAATCTATAGCCCACCAGAGGGACTGGGTTCCGGGTCTCGCTCTACAAAATGGTGCATCCAGAGCCGTGCATTACCTCGCTGATGAACATGGGGGTGCCGGCGCCCAAGCCGCCGTCTGTCTTATGGTGCTCGTTCTGGAAGAAATCGGGCGAATTCTCAGTTGAATTGGGATGGCGATGGGGGGATGGATACTTCTACTCACATCATCGTAATCGCAGTCGAAATAATTACTCTGGCAGTCCATGCACCGACAGCTCTCGGACATTTTGCATGTGATGCCCCATTGCTTGGCTAGATCCTTGTATATCTCCTTGCTCGTCTTGTTGCTCATCATTTCCGGTGTGAGAAGATTGGTGTGGCAATTGGGTTGCTGATGCTGCTGCTGAAGTTGCTGCTGGCGACGTCCGCTGCGGGAACGGGAAGCCACCGAACCAGAGGCGGAGCCGACACAGCAGGCTTCCTGGCACTGCTGGCTATTGCTGGAGACGGGCCTTGAATTTGAATTGCCACCTGCGATACAGTGGTTAGGGGGTAAGGGGTAGATAAGTGATTTATGCATGATGGTATTTGGCCTCACCCTCGTTGTAGTTGTAGCTGCCGCGGTTCAGAAGAGGGTCATAGAATGCTGCTGCCTGACTGCTGGTGCTGGCCTCGTCCCCGTCGAGAGCCCCTTCCTCCCCCTGCGCTCCACGCTCCTCGCTGCACTGGGCACACTGGTCGTCCGTGCACTGGCCATCTGCATCATCCCCATCCTCCTCGCCGGCGTAGAGCTTCTCCGGGCACCGGGAGGATGCCGCCATTTCCGTTTCCAGCAGAAACTCGCTCACGCTAATCGTGTTGAGGTCGTCCTCCGGGCAGTCGAATTCCGTGTCGCTCTGCTGCTCCAGCTCGAACACTCCCTCGGCGATCGGATCCCCCTCGTTGTTGTTGTTGTTGTTGTTGCTGTTGCTGATGTTGCTGCCGCCACAATGCGAGTAGTTCTGGTTGAGATTCTGCTGGTTCTGCTGGCAGTCCGGATCGTTGCACAGGCTGCTACTGGTGCTGCTGCTGCTGTTCCCCCCCTCCAGCTGCTCCTCCAAGGCGGCGCTGAGATGGGCCGCACTGTGCCGCGAGCTGTTCACCGAGCTCCTGCGACTGTTCTGGTTGGGCGTGGCGGCGCTGTCCAGGGATACCTGTCGCTGATGCTGGGACAAGCGCGTGTCCTCCTCTAGCACATGCTCGTAGGAAGGCGGTGGGGTGGTGGGCAAAATGTCGGCGTCAGTGTCCGTCAGCGACTCGTTGATGCATGGCGTGCGGCTCTGGTTGAGGTAACCTGCAAGAGATCCAATGATGAGCATGCAACCACGAATTCGAAAAGGAATATTTAAATCCAGAGGAGGAGGATGGTGCATTAGAATGCAGAGTTAGGAAAATGCTTTAGTGCATGCTCGAAGGTACACTAGAAGGTTCATGCTGGCTAATTTATAGAGGGTTTCACTTCCAATACTAGTATCTTTTGTTTTTATCTAAATACGTATCTCTACAGTCCCCATTCCTAATACGGGTACTTACGCATACTGTTGCTGTTCAGGTTCAGGGCCTTATTCTGGGGCAACAGGAGCTTTCGCTCGCTGCTCATCGGACCCAGGCCATTGCAGTCGGCCAGGTCTAGGCTGGAGCTGCTGCTGGCCTCCACCACGTGTTGCTGGAGCAGCTCTTGTTGTTGCTGATGCTGCTGCTGCTGATGCTGCTGGTTGCCCAAGAGGGCCTCGTTCACCTGCGGGTCCGGGTCGTGCTCTTGCGATGTGCTCCGGGAGCTGCCCATGCGGAACTTCAGCTTAAATGGCGCCATGGCTCTGAGTCTCCCCCACTCGAGACGTATACGAGTATATATGTAGGTAGGTAGGTATGTATCGACGTGTATCGGTGGATCCTCCTTCAATTCTCTCTAGCAGCTGTACTTTCCGTTGATGTGCTTTCTAGGGATATTAGCATTGGACCTTGTCTTCTGATCTCACGACATTGAACGAAAGAATTACGGAAGATACAGGACGTAGAACAAGATAAGTAGAGAGGAAGATATATAAACAGAAACAGATATAGATACAGATACAGATACAGAAACAGATAGGTACAGGATACAATTTCAAATATTATAGAGAGTGAATGGATAGAAATTACACGGATATCAATGCATTTACATGGTGGCTTTTCAGTGGAGTCTAGTGGAGTGGAGTGAACAATATGGATGTTTGAATATGGATTTTGTGTGTCTGGCTTTATTCGCTGGCCTGCTTACATGCACGGGCTTTGTTTTAAATAAATTACTGCAGCTTAATTAATGCCTCTGATTATTTTCCACTTACCCGAACGCCCAGCTCGAATCGAATCCAATCGAGTCCAGTCAGCTGTAATTTAATGATAACAAATTTAATTATGATTTCACTAAAACTGCACGAGTCGGAGGACAATACTCGGAAGCCCCAAACCAAAACACCCACACGGCAAAAATACACATGCAGGCAATCAGAGACAATCGGATTATTACCGACACACAAAGACAGAGCGGACGGAATTACAATCCGAAAGCATCACAAACAATATACATATATGTTCATGCCTTTAAATATTTATTTGTGTGTGGCATTCCCAACAAATTAAAATTCAATAAAAACACATTATAATTTAATTATGTAGCGATTATTACACCCGATACTCAAAATGAGTATAGGGGTATTTTAGATTTGCGTTGTGTAACGCCCAGAAGGAGGCGTTTCCTACCTTCAAAGTATATATTCTTGATCAGCATCAATAACCGAGTGGATAGAGCCATGTCTGTCTGTCCATCTGTCCGTCCGTCCGCCTGTCTGTCCCTATGAGTGCCTAGTGCTCAGTGATAATAAGAGCTATAGTAACGATAGTTTGTATCCAGACTTCTGCTATATATCACTGGTACAGGTGTATTTTAAAACTTCGCCCAGCCCCCTTCCGCCCCCACAAAGTATGAAGATCGGTGGATTCCACAATTTTAAAGATACGAGAAAATTAAGAACGCACCATATCTACCAGATTGCCGAATCAGATTGGATTTGTATAGCCAAAAGTAACAAATCAATTTTCGACCTGATTTTCTGTCTATCTCGCACGCACTCTGTCGTCTGCCGGAGGAGAGCCATACTGAGAGCCATAGGGTATAAATGTACAACTACGGTCGCAGCAGCAACTCACAACGTTTATTTAACCAATTGACGCATAATTTGATTAACTTTGATGTGAAAATTCATTTAAATCAGTCTTATAAGAGAATCTCTCTAACATATTTCTCTATCTAAAAAAATCTCAGAAAAATGGGCCAATTTCGGCTAATGGTGTATGTTTAATTTTTAATTAACCCATGTCCTCTATCTAATTAAGGCCTATTGTAAATTGTAAATTAGGCCTATTGGCAATGCGGTTTATTTCGACTTTTGACGTCAAATGTTTCCGGGATCACTGTCCAGTTCAACATCATTGAAATGCCCATATTTACATAAATGTATGTACGCTGATGTTTACTATTCTGAAATTATATAAATTACTTCCTTGAAATGTGAATCGCTATAATTCATCTTTCTGATTGTTTGAAACTTTGTCAAATTGGATGTTAAAAACTTAATTTAAATAAAATTCGGATTATGATGTGTCGTTGCAAGATATGTAGATACAGATCTAATTAATCAAAAATAGCTACATTTGCGTAAGAGTTGATAGAACGAAGCCTGTTGCTGCACCCATTTCCGACTTAATGAGACCTGACTGTGGCTGTTTGACCAATTTAAAGCGCGCCCCCTCCTCACACTTGAGCTGTTTATAGTTTCCACGAGCACTAGAAAGCGACAAGTTGTTGCAAGTTTGGATCTCCGCCCACTCAAACAGCTGTCTGTCCTGGCAGACTGTTCTCATTATTATGCAGATTACACAGCACCCAGATTCAAATGCAGCGCCAAGGACCTGAGTCGAGAGGAGGTCTCCACCCAACACCTACGCATATTGGAGGGACCGGGAGAACCACCTACGGGGTACTCGTAATTACGAGTGTGTGTGTGTAGAAACTATTATTATGCTTATTGGCTGCTGCACGGCGAGAAAACTCATTTCCTTAGGGGACGGGACCCAGATGATGCAGGATGACGCACTTTGTGTGGGTGAATGTGAATCCCAATTACGGCGGCCATAAGTGTGGCAAGTGTTTCGTCTATTTGAGTACCGGTACTACATAATCATCTTTTGATAGATTCTCCACTGAGAAGAGGGTTTTCCCCTGTGTGCGCACTCCCACTCTTTGCTTGTTAATTCCGCAAACATTTATCCTTGCATATTTGCAGACAATAAACTTCCAATTGCTGTTGACTCGGCAAGCAGGTTCGGCCAAGCAGAAGAGAAGAAGGCCCACAATCCACGGCGGTATGGATCCCCGCTCAGTTCCCTGATTGGATGCATGCAAATCCCCAGCTTGTATATTCATAAGCAGCTGCCATGCGATGGGATGGAACGCGATGCGAGGCCCGAACAATGGCAATCATCCGCCATCGAGTCTTCAACATCCTTCCCGCCCCCCACCCACCCATGCAGGAGAGCATATTCGCTGCTGTACATACATATGTACTTTCCTTCGCATGTACCTTCATTTTACTGAAAAACCCCTTTCTATGGAGTAGCTTGCGTTCAGGTTCAGTGGCTCAGAATCCGCTGGATTAGTTTGGTGAGTGCGGGGTCTCGGACGAGTGTGCCGTACCACAACCGAAATACTCTGCCGCGGTGACAGTCCGATGTCGTTGGCGTGTCCTTGGAGCAACAGTTGGCAACCATAGGAGAGGTAGATGCATGCATTTATAATGCACACCACCCGCAACGTCTTGGCAGCCAACAGAGCCATTGATTATGAATTCTTAATGAATGCCGGAAAGTCAGGCAAACGCATGAGTTTCGCATAGAATGGGAGTGCAGTGGAAGTGGAATTGGAAGTGGGAGGAAGGGTAAATGGCAAAAGGGGCAATATATAGCAAAGGGGAATGCTTAATCTTTAATCGAGACTTTTGACTCGCAGCCATGGCAGAACAATCTATCTGACATTCTCATTAATTTCACAGCAAAGAGCAAAGAGCAGGACGGGAGTTGGCCCTAGATTTACTGTCTAGTTTTACTGCCCCCTCTCCGCCCCCACAACTGTCCTGTCCCACGCTGGCCACGTGGGCAGGAAAGGACGGCTTCCTGCAGTAAATTGTTTTTTCTCGTAGCTGTCGCAAACAAAGACATTACATATTGGCCGTGAGAATTCATCAAATATGTAGTACGAGTACCGTGCCTGGACCATAGTGACTCGATCGCTATAAATAGCCACCTCTGACCCAGATAGTACTTGCATTTTACAAAACAAAAAACAACAAAAGACAACTGAATTCTATATTGCCATTTCATGTGAGCTCCCTCCCGCAGACACCGCTCCAGGCTCCAGGCTCCACGCTGCAAGCCATGTCAAATACAAAGCATAAATAAATGCATTTCAACTTTAGCCATCGTGTGGCCCGAACAATAGGAGGAGGATATGACTGTTTTTGACGCGTCCGAGGTCGCTCCCCCGCCTGTTCAATCCAAAGCGCAGCACAGCAAAGCCCTTTGCTGCTATTCTGGCCACTTCTGCGGGCTAAAAGCATCGCCTGAGGAACTGTGCAACTGTGGAACTGTATCTGCTATATGCAGAAGATGCAAATCGCTTTCCTTTCTTTGTGGTTATTGGATTGGATGCCATCAGCATCAGCATTACCCTGCCCCCACGCCCAGGTCTGGTCATAAAATCAAAAGGAAAGTGAGCGCTCTTTTTCTGTTGGCCATTATTGGGAAACGTTTGCCGCGAAATGGAAATGGAATGAATATTTAAGTTCTGTTTTTTATGCTCCTGAATTTTGGGGTTCCATCAAAAGGGGATTGTCGCCGAACACCCATCAATGAATGGAAGGCAAAACAATTACGCAAATTGGATATTAATTGGCTGCTCCCGCCGACACTCGAACCGCAATTACTGGCAAAGAATGAGGGGGGACGGGGCGGTGCGACCACGTAAGCAAACACACGAACAAGTGTCAAAGGGATGGGTGTGGAACAGGGATAGGGGATGGGGGATGGGGGATAGGGGATCGGGGATAGGGGATAGAGGATAGAGGGTGGGAATAGGGACATCGATATCAATGCCTATACCACTGCTCCCACAGAAGCAAAACACGACGATGATGGAGTGCCGGACCCAGCCAGGACATGGCCAACAATGGCATCATCATCGCCATCGACAGCGACATCAGCATACGGGACGGGACTCATTGAAATGAATGCGGCGCAATACGCGGAGACTCTGTGGGAGAAGGCAACGCGACGAGGCCCATACACATCCACATCCACATCCACATCCATTGTGGCCGTGGCATGTAGTCTCTCTCTCTGCCTTCGCTCTGGAAAGCTGATACCTAATTGTGTAAACAGCTCTGGGGCTTGGTCATTGCCACTTTATTGCCTTATTCTGTCTTCACTCATATTGCGGTAGACGGACACTCGCTTTCTCGATTCTTTATGTCCGACTGGCACTGACTCCTCGCCAGGCAATGAAAAATCGAAAAACACATGTCAAAGCCTTCGGCTGAGGGTGGGGATGGTGATGGTGATGGTGTTTTGGATTGAATGCACTCACCTGCCCAGAAGCCTACATCCAAATAGACATTCTGATCAATTTATTCGTTAAACACTTCCAACTTCTTGAACCTTTTGGTTACTCCGATTTCACTCTAATTACAATAGAAAGTACACTTTTCCTGACTGCACTTTGGGATTTTGTGTTTCATTTATGTTTTTCCAGACGTGCACACAACTCGGGATCTGACTGCCACAGACTGTGAAAAGGTGGCCGAAGGACGGAGCTTTTATTGTCCTCCGCTCCGCGGACGAGAAAGCTTTTGAGATAGGGGAGAAAGCTCGACAAAGGACGGCGCCTGCGCTTCTCTCCTTCCGGCAATTCTGTCTCATTGTTTTGCACCGTTTAGTGCTTTGCATCACAAATCCTTGCGTGCTCTGCTTTACCTCGCCCATTCGCGTGGATGAAGAACCAATCCCCCGCTCCTTCCATCCTTGTATCGCTTTCCTTTTATTTTGTCATTGAGAATTTATTTTGTCCGTCCTTAAAGTTTCATCGTTAATAATCTCAACCCCGCCGACCTGGTCACCCTCATCCAAGAGGTTCAACTTGTCCTTGATCCGTCCGCGGGGCATGATGGCGGCCCAGTCGCTTGTGTCGAATAGAACATCTTTTATCCAATACGTACGGCTGGGAACCGGCCACACATTCCACATCCTTAAAGTCAAGCCTGTTTGAATTGAATTCTTGATAAATCTGCGGTAGAAGGTACGGATGGAGGCACAGAACGACATTGAGGGTACCTCCACGGGCATTAGCTTGTGTCCCCCAATGCCTGAATTCGTGTGTAGCTCCAGCGTGAATTTGTGATGGTCCTCGAGAAACGTTCCAGCCCCATTGAGGTAGCGATCTCGGCTAAAGATTTTCAAACCGATTACGACCATTCTTCCGCAGCCATGTTGGTCACTTCGTAAGACTGTTGTCAGCGCTGTATTCGTTGGAGGAGTATGGGAAAGTGGCCGAAGTCAGGATACATATGTATCCTTTCACACTTCCAGCAGAGTCACTAAAACAGAATTCCCCATTGAATTCTGTCCGAACATTTGAGCTTTGCTTACACCTTGGCACTGTTTTACACAACCTTTTCTACTACAATATCGAATCAAATAAAATACCCAAACGGTGATGTTATTTCAGAATTTAATATCAAATGCCCGACAAAATCATGCTGCAAAATTTTCCACTCTAACCATTAATTAGACATTACATTACTCGTACTTTATTTTATTCTAATTTGCTTACCTCGACTAGACTGCAATCATTTTGGGAAGTATTTTGCTTTTATTGTTAGTGAAGTTCGCTTTTCATTAACTCTAAATTGTCTAATATATTCCCAAAATCTAAAGGATTGGAAAAGCCTTCTTCGACATAGACCATTTCTGAGCTTTTATATTATCAACTAATTTATTTGATTAGGATTTGATTCTTCTTAGATTGTAACAACAGGCGTGGATCATTTTTGTACCGCAAAAATATTTCGCTTTTGAAAACATCAAATTTTCTCCGATTCACATTGTTCTGCTGTTCTCGCCAAGCGGGCCTCGCCTGCTTCCTCTGGAGGCCCCAATGACCAGTGAAAACAGGCGTCAGTACATAGAACTGATATCCAGCAATATGCATTTCATAAACCTGCAAAAAATATTGAGTTTTTGATTGAAACCCGGCATAAATTACTTCAATTGCTTACCTGGGAGTTCCTGGTGAACCCATAGCCTGTGAATCGTTCGTCGTGCGCTGGTGCACTGTCGATTGCTATGTAAAATGGTTCATATAAAAATTCAAAATTTGTAACGACGTGGCTTATAGAGACCTCCGTATCGTTTGTATTCGAAGATAACCATCTGAAAAATATTAGTTGATTTTTAAACGAGGCTAGAGTAAGCATACCATAAACATATGCCGAAACTATAATACTTACTTGCTAAAATTTGTCGCGTACTGGTTGTAGATGAAGACTTTTTCGTGAAATGGCCTCGCCAGACCCTTTTTCATTAACCTCTGTAGGCCATACTTTGAGCGGGGAAACGAGGCTCGAACGTCTATCTCAAAGGTTGGTATTACGTAGGCGCAGTTCTTTGAGCAATTGGCGGTTTTCAAGAACTTGTTGAGTTGAGGAACACTGTTCGTGCTTGGGACTATGTCGATGTCTGTGAGAAAGGTGTACTTTGTCTGACAACCTTTCCGGGCTAAATTTCGCATGTGATTTTGGGGATAGGGATTCCTTTGTCGCCACTGCAAACTTTTCAGGGACCGGAGTTTCAGCAAAGCCTTCAACGTTCTGTCTGGATACTGGCAGTCGAATTTTCCCCTCAAATTAAACGAAATGGATACGAGTCGGGGCAGCTTATCGTAGTCGGGTGGGGTGAGCAAGTGGAAAGTGGCGTTTTCCCTTATGTTTGGGAAACAAAGCCGCATATATGTAACAAAGTATTGCAAGACAACAAATTCCTCGTGGCTGGCAGAGAACACGGCCACTGACATCGGCCCTTGCCAGTTTGTAGCGACCTGAGGCAAGGAGTTCAAGCGCTCCACCGAAGTTTGAGTGGCGAGGCAGACCAAACTGCTCTCAGATGACTCGGTGTACTGTTCCCCTAGGAGCGCAAAATCCTTGATCTTATACAAATGCTGGCTATCCCAGCGACCATAGCTCAGGTCGGCATTATCAAATGCCAACGGAGCAGTGTTGTTCGGAGCGAGCAAACTGTCCAATCCTGCAAGCGGCTGTATCAACGAAAAGGCAATATCTGAGTGCTAGGGGCAGTCCGCCGCGATTGGATTTCGGGATGGAGCGATGTGCTCAGCCTTCTTGCATTTCGTCGATGCATCTCCTGCCAGCTGCTGCTTAAACAACCAGAATATGTTTATCAACAGAATCGCCAGCGCAATTTTTAGAGAACTCAAATTTGATAGGTGGCACTGAGATTAAAGGGATCACATTAAAACCATTAAAAAGGCTTAACAGCTTTTACATACCATAGTTTCTTATATGTTTAATTTTTTTGAGTGTGCCCTTCAGTGGTGTGCGATTGTTTGGCCGATCGCCTGTATGAAGGTACTAATTGCCAAGTCAGAGAATAGTAGATGTTGTGTTATAGAGTACTTGTTACAGTTTTACATCAATTTCCTCGATGAAGTCAATTAAATTAGGTACGAGTTGATGTTTTCTTAGAGATGGGAAGTATTTTCTTTTTTTGTTGTACATGGTACAATTAAAAATTATGTGAGTCGTTATCGATACTATCGGCGATTTTGTGCCTCTAAGAACGTTCGTATCATAATGTAGATTGTTATCGAAGTACCACTGAATCGACATCATGTAATTCCCCGTTGGAATGGGATTTTTAGATTTTCTACTTATTAAAAATAATCGTATAATCTCACACCATGAAATTGTATATCGTTTGCCGGTTATTATATCATCCCATGCATTTTGAAGAGCACTTTATTTCGATCGTCGCGACGGTCTTTAGACGGCAGTTAGAATTAACTGAAAGAGGAAGTAAATAAAATTGTAGATCAGCAGACGTGGATGGCAATGTTGTACCTGCTGTATCAGCGTTTTGGTAATATCCTGTCGATTTTCGTGAATGGCATGATTTTTCCTCGCATACAGACAGATTGCACCGAGTTGATGAGACAGGTGCCGCCATTTACATTTGGCCTCTTCTCCACCAGAACTCATAGCGAGCGCACCAAAACGTAAAAACTCCTTGTAAAGAATTTTTAAATTTGTCTATCGGCTTAAAACCAGCTGAGAAAAAATCTTTTATCGATGTCAGATTTCAGTATTTCATTGTATGTGAACATTTGTTTACGGTCACACACATTTTTTGCATCGCGGTCACACTGCAGTATTATATCTATGTAGAGTAATGTATACATTATATACATACATATATACACATTGAAAACAGTGAGAAAAATACAATCGAGAGTAACATTTTAATAAAAGATTAAAGCATGTTCTAAAAGCTACAATTCCAACATGTATTGGACCCTATAAATTGTGAATCTCAAAATCCTACAATAGAAAAAACTGAATCTTCAAATACTTGGTGCATAAAGAAAAACATCCATATGTATGCACTAACAATAATTAAGAACCTGTGTTGTTAAATCGTTCATCTTAAAATCAAGTTTGCCGGCTGCATGTAAATGTACGTATAGTAGTGAGTGCAGTTGTCCTTATTTATGCACATAATGTTCTTTCAATTTGTGAAGAAAAAATCCCACGAAAAGTACCCTTTGTAATTAAATTTGTGTGTATTCATATGATAGTGTTTAATAATGCTCACCATAAACAGTCCGCATTGCATGTACATATGTCATGTACATGCAAAGGTATATAAGAGCTAATGATTCCATTCCGGTTACGATTTCTGTATGTACTTACATGACATTGTATGTAATGTGTACATGCATACATACAAATGTATGTAGGTACTTGGTGTCCAAAGCTAATGGAGATTATTTTCGGCTTTAAGCCATAGCTGCCGTAGAACTGTCCACTGTCCCAGGACATATTTATATGTACCAGTTATATGTATGCTATATTGACTGAGCACGTCATGGCCTGTATGTACATATCGTTTTAATGGCACTGGAGAGTTGTAATACGCCTTCTTCTGATGTAAGACCACATCCACATTCTCATGGCTGTTAACAGTGAAGTGTGAGCAGTGATGTATGTATGCCTACATATGTAAATATGTATGTATGTTCGGTTAAAGACGGTGCGGGACGAACCCATTAATTACACTTGCTTTTACAGACATACATACTTACATCTGTATGTATGTACGTATGTTGGCAAATATTAATCTGGTCCAAGAACTTTTATTTACCACGCATAGTAAATGCATAAATAAATATTTCGAATAAAGTATATAAAGTTTATTTACAACGCCCATCCCTCCAATGTTTAACCCTTTGTGGCTTCAGGTCCGTCGACATTCTTAAAAATCAAATATATTCGTCATCCTGTAAAGACTCACTCACCTTCCAAGCAATTTAATTCGATTAAAAAATTCCAACTGACGAATCCCCTCCTTTGCAGGGATACATCATCACCACAAATAAACATGGAGGAGTCAAACCCCAATTATCCGGGCGCTCAACGATTGCAGAATCCAGAAGCATGGCCCAATATACATGAATTTCATCCATCGCTTATGTTTCCGGATGATCCGAGGCGGTATTTTCACAATCCCCCGCCAATCAATGCCATCGGTGGATCGCTCATACCTGCTAAGATGCCGGAGATGAGTACCGACATCAACATCAACATCGCGAACCCGATGCCGATCCCCACTGTGGAAAACACATCCGCGGACAAAACCAGAATCCCACATCCAGCCATCGCCATCCCACAGGATGTGGGGAAGAATATTACAGCAGTACCTCACGGCCACAAGCGAAAGAACTCTGTCCAAGATGCAGAGCAGGGCACGAACAAGAAAATCGGTCTAAATCTAACGGCTGCCGAGGAGAAGAAGAACCTCCTCCATCTCAGGAAGAACATTAGGGATGTGATGAACGAAAACAATCTGGACACAACCACGCTGGCGGCCCAGAAGGAGGAGGCCGAACGCTTGGCTCGCGTTGCTGGTCAACAGAAGTCAATGCGCGAAATCCAGAAGCAGGTTGTCCACAAGCAATTCTTCCGCATATTGCAGCTGGACGAGAGCGAGGGAATTGAAAGCTGTTCCGTGTCGAACCACGTCAATGTTAACGTAAACGTTAACGCCAACGACACTCCCGTCGAGTTTCCCGAGGAGGAAATCGTGTCGGACACATTTGATGAGACGAATAGTAGTTTAAGCTGTAGCATCGACGACGTGCTAAATAAGGAGGCCAGCAGCGTGGAGCCGTCCGGGGAAGTGGTGACCATTGATGACAGTTCGGATGACGACTGCATACTCCTGTCGGAGGAAGAGGAGGAGGAGGAGGAAGAGGAGGACTTGAACGAGTCGGACGATGCCCATAACAGTGGCATGCATGTCAAGGATTTGTATAATGTTCCTGATGAAAACGGACAAGTAGTCGTCAACATTGCGCATCCCGAGGGCGAGGAGACCTTGTACTTGGCCCCCCAAATAGCCAAGGTGATAAAACCGCACCAGATCGGAGGCGTTCGCTTCTTGTACGACAACATCATTGAATCGACACGAAGGTTCAACAAATCAAGCGGCTTCGGATGCATTCTTGCCCATTCCATGGGGCTGGGCAAGACGTTGCAAGTTGTTTCCTTCTGTGATATTTTCTTAAGACACACGTCCGCCAAGACGGTTCTCTGTGTGATGCCCATCAACACGCTGCAGAATTGGTTGAGCGAGTTCAATATGTGGGTGCCCCGCTACACCGCCGACCACAACATTCGTCCGCGCCAATTCGACATTTATGTTCTGAACGACCAGCAGAAGACACTCACTGCGCGTGCGAAAGTTATATTGAATTGGGTGCAGGAAGGCGGCGTTCTGCTGATTGGATACGAATTGTTCCGACTCTTGGCCCTGAAGCTGGTGCGAACCCGCAAGCGGAAAGGCGCCAACGCCTTTAGGGCCGATGGCCACGACGCCAGCAGCGATCTTATGAATCGGGTGTTCGAAGCACTCGTTAAACCTGGTCCAGATCTGGTGATATGTGACGAGGGGCATAGGATCAAGAACTCGCATGCCGGCATATCCCTGGCCCTGAAGCAGATACGGACTCGTCGCCGCATTGTACTTACGGGCTACCCCTTGCAGAATAACCTTCTTGAGTACTGGTGCATGGTGGATTTTGTGCGGCCAAACTATTTGGGAACCCGCACAGAGTTCTGCAACATGTTCGAGAGGCCCATCCAGAATGGCCAGTGCGTGGACTCCACCCCAGACGACATAAAACTCATGAGATACAGAGCGCACGTGCTGCACTCCCTGCTGCTGGGCTTCGTGCAGCGACGCTCCCACAAAGTATTGCAGATCACGCTGCCGCAGAAGCACGAATATGTTATTCTCGTGAAAATGACAGCGTTCCAGCGGAAGCTTTACGACACCTTCATGACTGATGTGGTGCGAAAGAAGGCCTTTCCCAATCCCCTGAAGGCCTTTGCTGTTTGCTGTAAGATCTGGAATCATCCGGATGTACTGTACAACTTTCTGAAGAAATGTGAGACTGACTTAGATTTAGAAATCGACGAAGAGCTTTCGAAGAGCGCTCCCACTCCAATCACAGACTCCAATCAAGAATCCAATCCTTCATCGAACATGGCGGCCTCGGCCTCTCTGTCTCCTCTCTGCGAGAAGAAGAGCAGCGAAACCATTGAAGTGGCCTCTAATTCCAACGAAACTGAGGGCCTGTTCAATATGCCCCCGGTGGCATCCGATCTAAATGCGAAATATCTAAACAAGAGCTGCAGCAGCCCCAATCTGGCCTACGGGGAACCCCTTAATTATGGGTCGTTCGGTGCGGAAACCATAGGAAAAAACAACTATTGGATGGAATCGAGCTGTCCCATCCTGTCCAAACCGGGCTTTGTTGAGGTGATAAAACAGACGGATACAAATATGTCGAAGGACTTTGAAAGTATTACGGGATCCTCGGAGATTGTGGATCTCGACACGAATGAGATAAAAACAGTCGAAACGAATATCCAAACGCCGTGTTCCAATAATCAGCTGGACAATGAGGCCAATGCCCTCAAGCCAAGTGGTTGTGGTGTCGTGCCGGGCCTGAAGAACGTAGCCGGCGGCACTGGCATTGGCTTCGAAGCAAATAAAAAGCTGTTGAAGACTAAACGGAACGACGAATTCTCATGTTCATGGGCGGTCGATCTAATGAGGAACTATGTGGCTGGCCAAATAGAGAATTCTCCCAAAATGGAGATATTCTTTTGCATCCTGAAGGAGAGCATGCAGTTCGGCGATCGTATATTGCTGTTTAGCCAATCCCTCCTTACGTTGAACATACTCGAGGGCTACCTGAAGACCAGTTACGTGCCCGGCACCAATCAATTTTGGACCAGAAGTTACTCATACTTTCGTAAGTTTTCGTCATATAAAAACCACCTTTTTATTTAACCCAATTAATGATTGATTGCAGGTCTGGATGGGTCCACCTCCTCGCAGGAAAGGGAGAGGCTAGTCAATGAATTCAATGCAAATAGTCAAGTGAAGCTATTTCTAATCTCGACGAGGGCTGGCTCATTGGGCATCAATCTGA